AAGATCAAATTCCGAAATAGGTATTAACTTCGATATTTCCGACGGGAGAAAAAATCCCTCCGACCCGATCAAAGGATCCGCCGACAAAAAGAAAACCGCGGGAAGTTTAATGACGATCGGTGTGCGCGGGGTTCTTTAAATTCATTCGGCAGAATGCACACGAAAGACTTTGAAACTGGCCTGCCGTGTACGGATAAAAAGTTTTCCCCAAGAAAGTCTTTTCGTGTTTCTTCTAACCGCGGTGCACGTGGAGGTAAAATTAGCCTCGCACCTTCGATCTATCGGAGATCAATTTCGACCCCGGGGCGAGGGCGACCTTCGCGCGACATATTGCGAGCCGCCTCTTTCCCTTTTTCTAACGATCGGCGACTCTGCCTCGTCCACGTGACACGTTTCATAGGCGTTATCGGGCTAGTTAGTTCGGCTGTAACGATAAAATACGACAAATAAATACCAACGTTACGTGGGACCCCCGGCAAAACGCGAGAGAGAGAGAGCCCGCCCGGGCCAGCTCCGTTGGGAGCGCCTCGCGTTTCGACCATTCTTTTTGACGGCGAATTATGCGTTTCGTAATGGCGTTTTCGTGCTCGCCGCACGAGGAAAACAGCGACTGCGACAGCGCAGTAATCGTTATCTCTCTACGCGTATCCACTACGTTACGATTTTTCTATCTTTTTTTTTTTCTTTCTCGACGCGATCACCGACACGGACGAAGAGCCGCGATCGTGTGTGGGCGGGTGGGCGCGCGCACACACACATACACGCGCGATCGGTATCCACTGGCGATTGGTCCCCTCGGCATATCGGCCGGGCGACCTACTGCACGTGCCCCGATTCCCCTCTCAAGGTGAATGACGAGCAATGAGTTATCGGACTTCGAGCTCGGGCATTTCTTCGCTCTGTTAGACGCTTTTGCCGCATTACCTGGGCGCGTGCGCGCGCGACTTCTAATCCGCGACACACTTGCGCCCGTGTATTATTCATCGACCGCGCGAACACAGTCGCATTGTCAAAGCGAATCGGGGAAATCGCGGCGGAAAATCGGAAAGTCGACGAAAGAACGACGGTGGTGTTTTTTTTTCTTCTTCCCGTATTTCCTTCCATTAATATTTATTATTATCGGCTACGATCGACGTATATTATACCGTTTTATACGTTAGCATCGATCATTATAACCGTGTTTCGAATAATGTCGGTTTGTCTGTAACAATAAGGGGGATACCATTTCACGAAAATCGAGCGAACGCCAAAAACTGTATTTTCCTTTTCGAGATATTCAAAGTAAAAAAAAAATAAAAATGAACTTTTTAGAGGAGAGATATACAGTTTAAATAAAAATTTCACGCACGCCCTTGCGTAATATTTTCGTCAAGTTTTGCAGCGCCTTCTAAAAATTTGACAGGACACATCACACTTTATAAGAGACGGCAATTTGTAAATTTTAGAAAAAACTCCGCCGAGGAGCACGGATTATGTACCGCAATTTCTACTAGAGGTAGTATTTAATTGAATCGGTGTGCGAATTATGTTGACGACTTGTTTGTGTACGAGCTAATTGTTCTCGGCGACGTACGGTCGAATCAACGACGTTAAGGCTGCTGATATCGACGTCTTGCACTGCACGCGGCGCTCACCTGTTCGTTCCTTGGAACGTAGTCGTGTGATGCGACCGATATAAATCTGACGAAACGTCGGATTTTTGTGTATCGGCCAAGAAAGAAAAAAAAGAAAGTGTCGAGACAATCGCTTGGTTAGTCAACGCGAAATAATAAATATAGAACAATAATAATAACATTAATAATATATAGACTAATAACGTGGAGAAAATAATACGGAATAAAAGTAGAATGGTAAAAAAAAATTTGCAGAAGCCGCCTTTAATTAAATCTGCTCGGTCCGATTGATTGGCGCTCACGAAGATATTAAATGTAAGATATACGAGGTATTTTTAAGACACTTTATCAGCATCTCGAGATTTCTTTAGTTAAAAAGTCCACGCTACACTTCTTGACGTATTTATAGCGCGATATTATATCGACGTTATTTTATTATTAGATATCGCGTGGATAGGGGCGCGTCTTTGAATATCGTAGTCGGGGAGGGGGGGGATTTTTTTCGCGATTCCACACAATGGGCACTGTTATTTGGCATGATTAAGAAGACGCGGTGTGCCGCGTGTATAAATATATAAATGTTGAGACAAGGTACGCGCGGAGATGATAGCTGAACGACAGCATGACGACACCCGCCATTTCTCTCGGATAGTATGCAGATCTATTTTCGAGTGGTGGCTAAAATAGCTGAGCTTAAACTTCTGCTAGACACCGCCGGAGTTACCACGTCGGAAAGGAATTGGGTCAGACTTGAACGACAAAATAAGTATCAGCGTAGTAGTTTGAGATAGCGCAGATAGATAACAAAAAAATGAGCGAAATCGATTATTAATGGCAACCTCGATAACTCTTATCTACCGTGGAAAACGTGCTTATCCCGAAATAACGTCTTAGGGGGTGACGGCCATGTGCTTTTGAATAAGAATATTCTTCCCCCCCGCCCACATGCGTCTATTATTTAGGCCCAGTGTATTGTTTCCGAGGGGGAAACCGCCTGATCAAAACCTTGTACACCGATGCCCACTAATGTCCAGTGGGCATTACTTTATCTTATTATCTAATTTTATCTCTGTAATGCCCCAGCAAGGCCTAATGCCCAAACAATTCCTAGCAATGCCTAGTAATGCCCAGTAATGCAAATCTGCACACCACAATGCCCTCGGCGGCTTCCCCCTCGATTTTATTTTGCAATCTGACGATTACGGCGAATAGACATTTTGGCCAAAGTGCCACGGAAAAATATGAAACCATACCCCATGAAGTGGACACCTGCTTATTTAGTGAATGCGCAATCCGCAAAGGGAGGGAGATAATTTTTAAATAATTTAATAAAGATACCTCGTAAACTGATTTCAGCTCTCTTTAGCCAACCGTCATTTTCGCTATTCATAAAATTATCACGGAAAATTATTAATGCCCCGAATGGAACGCGAAGAGATTTGTCACAAAGGGCGCAATAAATAAAAGTGATAATGATAATATAAATGGATTTTATCCAATAAGAGTATAATATCAACAGTATTACGCGGTGATCCCGCATTAAATTTACTTAAATTAAGCTACAGAGTCGCGCAAAACCGGGATAATATAAATGAGATTATTTATTCATTTGCTAACTGCACCGCAAAAAAAATATACGTATATAATGCCGGGCTTTAAGATCAATATCGTGTTAAATCTGATATAACGTCATTGTATACGCCGGGACGTGGAAATGGAGCGAAGGTGCGGAAAAATATGTAATCGAGGAAAACGCTGACCCGTATTTTCGCCCCGTTCGCGCCATTCATTCCATTATCTATTCCTTTTCTATTTCTATATATATCTGTACACACATTCGCGCCGCTGTTCAGCGACGGCACATGTGCGGGGCGCAGCTCGCTACGGAGATTACGGCGGAAAGGCGAAAGGCTCCCGGAACACTTTCGATATACTTCAACCTGCGCGCTTCCCCAGCGCCTCGCGATACGCGAGGTATCGTTATCGCGCGGGCAGATATGCGAAGCGGCGAGAGATAACCCGGATTCCCCCGCGTAAAAAGTCGTCGCGTGGACGGACAACTCGGCGTTTACGACGAGTCCTAGGTCCGGCGCGAACGTCAGGTTTGCTGCCTGTTCCTACACTGGTCAGCTAGTGCGATAAATTGGAGTGGGACAAGTGCATTCTTTCCCGATTCTAGCTTACTGCACTGCCCAAGGAAAATGATAAGTCACGATGACATCAATTCCATGTCATATTGACCAGATTTACGTCATATTTCGGTCAATATGACATCAAATTGACGTCACCTTGACTTTTCATTTCTCCATGGGTGGTTCACCAGTGCTGGAGCAGAAAACAAGCCTATTATCGCGCCGTTAAAAACGACACCATGCCGCGCGGCCGCGCGACTACCGAAACAGCAGTTGTGCCGGCTAAATTTAAATGCATCAAGCCTCTCTCTCTCTCCCTCACACACGCATTCTCGGGGAGCAGTTGCATAACTTGAAGTGGCACGAGTAACGCGCGCGGCGCGGCGCGGCACTCGTGGCGTAACCGAAAGAACGCGAAACTGCGGAAGTCGGAGCGCAGCGCGGAGCCTTCCACGACGGCCTGCGGGACCGCACGATCGCCGGCGCAGTTTTACAAGCGAGTACCCTTGGCTATACTACCTGCCCCGGCCCGCGATCGATAGACGCGATGCCACTCGGCTGTAAAAAAAAAAAAGTCGAGGCAACGAGTCCGTGCCATCGGTGCCCGCGAGTCGAGTAAAACAACAAACGGCGAGTCGCCCCGAGTCCCCTCCTTTTACCCGTGATCTGTGCAACCAGTCGACGCGAATAGCCGTGCGGAGAAGAGAACACGCGATCTAGCCTGGCTGCGACAGCTGGGTGATCGGCACGTTGCTAATAACGCGATATTTTTATACGGAAGCGACTCCGCTAATTTACCCGATAACGATAACGCGAGCGCGCGGCTGGTTTTAACTTGCCCGTTAACCGGCCGGAGGTGATTGATTTTTCACGTGGACGAGGGAAAATCGGTTAGTTAAAGATCTCCTTCGGAGAGTCTGGGCACTTGATCAGGGAGAGAAGGGATTATTCGTCTTTACAAAAGAGAGCTTCATTCTAACGAAGTGATTCACTCCCGGGATAAATAAATCGAAGCGTTCGGCGCGGCAAAGTTCCAACTCGCTCGCGCTCGCGGGCTCGAGCGGATTAATTTTAAAGTTGCAAAAATCAGACACCCCGCAAATAAAATTAAATCCCAACTCCCGCATTAATTTCCGAAAGTTGGTGGAAAAGTGGGTTAAATCGACGTATAGTCGACCGCGCGCGCGCGCGCGAGCTCGCAGCTCCGGAAACTCGGCGCGGAGCTGCAGGAGCGAAGAAGCGAGAAGACACTCACCTGCTGAAACGGCGGCAGCTGCAGCAGGTCCCTCTCCTCGGCGGCGGTCACCTCGAAGGTCGGCGCTGGTTGGGGCGGGTATATGTTGCCCTTGCCGGGGTACGAGGTGCTCCGACGGAACTTGACCGGGCTGATGCAGGAGGGATGCGCCGCCGCCGCCGGGCCCGGGTGGCCCGGGAACGTCGGACTCGGCTTGCGGCCCTGCAGGCCGGCCGCGGCCGCGACCGCCGCGGCGGCGTGCAGGGACGAGTGCAGCGGCGGCAGATTCGGCACGGATCTGCCGCGGTTCCAGGGAGATAGGCCCGGGCTGGCGACCGCGGCGGCTGCCGCTTGCGGGCCCGCGCCCCATTGCTGCGGGGCCTGCGGTCCACCCGACCACGCCGCGTATCCTTTGCCGGGCAGATAGACGCTCGGGTGGGACGTCGGCGGTGGTTGTTGCTGCTGCTGCTGCTGGTGCTGCTGCTGTTGCTGTTGCTGCTGCTGCTGCTGTTGCTGCTGCTGCGCGGACGACACCTGCAGACCGCCGTGTCTGGTGCCGGTGGGCGCACCCGCGTTACCGTGCTGCTGCTGCTGCTGTTGCTGCTGCTGCTGTTGCTGCTGCGGGAAGTTATGGCTGGCCGTGATGGCTCGTCGTGTGCCGGACGAAACCGCGGCGGCGGCGCCGCTGCTGGCGAACAGGCCCGCGGGCCCGCCGGTCGGGAAGTTCTGAAAGGCGGCGATCGAGCCGTTGACCGGTAGCGCGGTGTGCAGGCCGCCGTCGTCCGGCGCGGACCACAGGCTGGGCACGCGGCCACCGGGATCGGCGAAGCCCTGCAGGGCCGAGGTCGTGCCGCACGTCATGTCCTTATCCGTCGACGAGGGCGTCGTCGGGGTGATGGCGATGCTCTCCGCCTCGATCACGTCCTTGGACTTGTCCTGCCCGGCCACGGTGTCGAGGGCGCCGCTCGGCGAGAGCGGCGCGGGCTTGCCGGCGGCTTGCTTCTCGATCAGCAGATCGTCTTGCATCGTGGATGTCGTTACGGCGCTGGAGTTGCTGTTGCTGCCGTTTCTCGTGGTCGCGCTAGGTTTCGGGCTGGTCAGGGTACTCGAGAAGAGGCTCGTCGCGCTGTAATCCCCCATAAATCACCGCGGGGCTTTCGATCGCCGTTGACGGCCAACGAAGGCGTCACGGTATTACCCGGCACCAGCGCAGCTCTAGGCCCCTTCGGAAACTCCTTGCCTCCGCTCGTCTCCCACGGGCCTCGTTACTCGCGGCTCGGGGGTGTCGTCGAACGCGAGAGGACCGCGCGCGTCGTCCTCCACGTAGCGTAACTCGCCGTCGTAACTCGCGGCTCCCGTCCGGCACGAGCTTGCGGGGCAAACTATCGATCCGCGGCCGCACGCGTAAAAACAGCCACGGAGAGGGACTCCGGAAACCAAAAGACCACACCGCGCGCGCGGCGATCCTCTTCGTTTTACCCTCTCGCTCTCGACGATCTCCTCTTTTCCCGTCGGGCTGCCCACCTTCTATTTTCACGCCTCGGTCTATTTGTCTCGCGGGCCGAAGGCGCGGGTATAATCTCCTTCTCTCGCTCGATCGGACCTCGGGGAAAACGTTTCTTCTCTAGATCCAACTGACGCGGCGTCGCCCCGGTACGATTCGGCAGCGAGCCTGTCTCCGTGGCATCCTCTTGGCCGGTCGGGGGAGCCAAGCTCACTCGGCGACGCGCGTTGCCATCGCCGTCGCGGCGCTCCTACGCGTTCGATCGCTCGCTCGCTCTCGCTCTCTCGCCGTGTGCTCGCCTCGTTCGCGGGCTATCCCCTGGCGAACATAATTTCGATCCACTCGGCGGGGCTACACACCGCTGGACCACTTGGAATCCTCCCAAATACGCAGCGCAGCGCGCGCGCGACCTTTCGCTCGCCACTATCACACACACGCGACTACGATACGAGGTCGCTCCGCGGATCGTATCGCGGAGGCGGAGGCGGGGGCGGGGGCGGGGGCGCTGGAGGACGGGGAGTAGCGGGCAGGGGGAGGGAAGAGAGCGCGTATAGCGTGTACGCGATACGTTTCACCACCCCACGGGCCGACGAAGCGGAACGACTCGCGTCCTTCGCGCGGGCGATCGCGGGCGACTCCGGCTGTGTCACACTCGGCCCTCGCGGCTCTCCCCCCGGCGGCGGCGTGGCGCGGCGAGCGAGGGAGGGTGGCTGGTGACCGGGACGACGCGATAGGCAGGGGCCTCCCCGGACGCGGACTCGCACTCGCGGGTGTCGCGTCGTCGACGTCGCCGTCGCCGATCGCCAATTGTCCCGCGGTATCGGCGCCGCGGCGCGTACTCTCCTGCCGCCCCCGCGCGCGATCGATCGATCGCCGATAAGCTCCGTTTCACGTACGCGCTCACGAGGCGCGCGGCGCGGACGGACGCGGTTTGCCGCACGCGCGCGCGCGCGCGCGCACACACACGCACGCACGCACCGCCGGTGATCCTCGGCGCGCAGCACTCCGGCCGAGGCGCGTACGCGCGAGCCCGCGCCCGAGAGGAGCGTACAGGGGGATACCGGGTCAGGGTTACTACCACCGCACCGCGCTTCGCGGACTGCGACGTCGTCTCTTCCACCCGGGCGTGAATCGGAGCGGAACCCGAACGGAGCGGTATTCGCGCACTGCGGCGCGGCGCGGCGCGGCGACCCGCGGGGGCCTCTCTTCCACACCTCCGCCGACGATCCCCGCCTACGCGCGGTATCGTGCACCACCTCTGACCGCACACGTACGCCGCGGTCTCTCCCACCTCCTCTACGAGGTGCGACGGTGGCCTAGCGCTGCCTCCTCCCGGTCGGCTCGCATATTTTCCCTAATTTCCCTCGCCGGCGTCACTCGCTCGCGTCGCACCGTCGTCTAAGTCTCGTCTACTGCGTTTCCTCCGTCGCGCGTACGCCCTCGCACCTCCGTCGAGCACCGTCGCGCTCCGAGCGAGAGAGGAGGGCTGGTGGAGGTGCAAGCAGGAGAAGGAGAAGGAGGAAGAGGTGGTGGAGGAGGAGGAGGCCCGGAAAACTCCGGCCAGCAGAGCGCGTTTCGACGACGCGACTTTCTGGTCTCTCCCTTGCTGCTGCTGCTGCTGCTGCTGCTCTTGCTGCTGCTGGTGCTGCTGTTGCTGCCGCTGGTGCTGCTGTTGTCGCTGCTTCTGCCGCTGCTGCGTCGTCGCCGTCGCCGTCGCCGTCGTCGTCGTCGCGTGTGCCTCTCGCGCGCGCGCGCGCCGCAGCGGTGCGATTCGTGCGTCGTGCCGACTTTTGGAGCACTGCGGCCGCGCCGCGGGTCGGGGCATGCCACAGCCCGCCGGGATATAAGTATCGTCGTGCGTGCAAGCGCGTCAAGCCCGTGCGCACTCGGCGTACGCTCGTCCGGCGGCCAGTCGTGCCGTGCACGTCTCGCCGTACTCTCCGACGCTGATCGTCCTCCTCGTGCTCCTCGTCGTCGTCGTCGCCGACGTCGTCGCCGTCGCCGTCGTCGTCGCCGCTGCTACTCACGCAGGCGCCCTGGCGCCGACGTCGCCACCGCCATCGCGGCCGCACCGGAACCACCACCGCGACGCCCGCCTCCCTCCACGACCGCGCCGCGTCCATGCCGCTGCCACCCTCCTTGCGACCCTCCAGTTATACGGGGTGTCTTGAAATCATTCGATGTGTTGTTTCAGCTGCGGATCCTACGGCGAAGAAGTCGGAGCGGCGGGCGTACGCGATATTGAAAATTGAGGGAGTTTTTTTCACGGGCTAATCTTGCGGAGAGGGTATTGTGTGAATAAGGGACGTAATTGTGATTTCAAATAACACGATTGGATAGAAGCAGGGAGGGGAGATAGGATGTAGATGACGTTTTATAATACAACCTCTTAATTGGCTGTTGAGAAAACACTATTGATGGCGTACTAGCCTACTGGACGAGAATGGTCTCGGAAATGTCCCAAGTCCGAAAGTGGCGTTCAGTCACGTTAATTTTAACAAGGCCAGGTTTCCTCCTTGCCCCTTGCTTTTCAGGCGTGCAAGTAATCGGCAAATAGGGACCTGCTTTTCCAATTAATTTTCGAACAGCGCAGAATTGAAGATGCCACCGGGCCATTCGAGGGAGTAGAATAGCAAAGATTAGAGGCAGACGCGCGAAACAGAAATAAAGAATCTCTCGCCGGAGGAAAGCCGGCTCGACATTTCTCACGGACTCCAGTGGACTCGGGGGGGGGGCATTTCTCCTCGTAAGGTCGCGATCTCTCCGCGAAATTTCTCAACTTTATCCTCGCGCTCTATAACGGGGCCTCCTCGAATTCTCCCCCGGTGCTGCGGGCCGGGAGCCCGCGAGGGAGGATTTTCGAGAGGAGGACATTGTCGCCGCGCACGAGAGAAACAGGCGGAGAGCGGAGCTGTGGCCGCCTTCGTATACAACCTTCGAGGACTCGAACCTTTCCCAACAACGATCGACGCAAGCGTCGCGAGGCGGCGGCGGCGCGGCTTGATAAGCGGCAGTGCTCGATAAGAGCCGAGGGAGCCGGTTTACGTACCGACGTAACAGAGACCGAGAGCGAGAGCAAACCAGAGCGAAAGAGCGAGAGAAAGAAAGAGAGAGAGAGAGGGGGGGTGCAGCCTCCGTACGATGCACAGGGGATTAGAGGCGGGCGCGTAAATAAAAATATCACGACGGGGGGCGATTTATAGCGGTGGATAACGAGATCGCGCGCGCGCGCGCTGCGACGCGAGTCCGCGTCGCGTCCGTAATTACACGCGGAATCTCGCGTGCCTCCGCGGGCGAGTGTGTAGGTGCATCGCCGTCTTGCGAGAGGGATGGGGCGCGGGAGGAGGGAGGGAACGCGCTCCGTCGGCGGCCGCTCGTAAATCTCCCGTGATTAGCCGCGCGGATGCGAATTGCTGCTGGCCGCCCAGCGGCGTCGGGAGACGCGGCGCGCCGTGGCCCGCATTGTTCGTAAAACGCGCGCGCCGGCTTGCGTAACGCGCGGAACGGGGCGCTCTCGTCCGCGGCGCGGCGCTTCCGCGCCGGGCCGTAATCTAATCGCTCTCGACGGATTCTTTCTCGATGTCGGCGATAACGGGACGGCGATAAGGCCTTAATCTCCCGCCGAGAGATTGGCGCGCTTGCGAGCTTCTTTTCCTTCCTCCTTTCTGCATTCGGCTTGATTAGATTCGTCGAGAGCGTAACAGCGAGCGCGCAATCGCGCTTATCTCTGTAAGAGAAAAAACAATACGGTAGAAATGGTATCAATGAGACAAACGGTGAAACGGAATTGAGCCCAAACGTACCGTTTTCGTCCAGTAAATGCCGGAAAAGTGCGTTGCCGACACATTTTTGCGACGCAGGAAACGGGAATTTTAATTTCGTCGAACCAAGAGCGTCGAAATAGATCGCGTGTTAATTGCAAAATTCTCTTTCCCGACGAACAGACGTGACCCAGCGAGAAGCGACTCGTCGATCGATGTCGAGGCAATGGCTGCGCTCGGCAGAAAAAGCGCCGCACCGCAGCTGTCGTAAAGTTCGCGAATCCGATCGGCGATTATTCCCTTAATGCCGAGCGAAGTTTAAGAGCGCACGCCGATCGGATTCGCGAACTTTTGCAGCAGCTGCGAAGCAGCTTTCGTCGAATCGACATCGACGCCGTCGATCCGCCATTACTTCGACGCGTCATTCCCCCCCCCTCCCCCCCGGCGAGAAAAGAGGAAACCGGAGCGAAAACTGGACGTCGGAGAACTCGAAAGCACGCGGACTCGATTCCGTCGCAATGTTTTACCTCTCGCGAGCGAGAAATACGGTCTCGCACTCCCCCCGCGTTCATCTCGAGAGCAGCGGCAAGTGAACATCGTCTCGGCGCAAATGTTACCTCTGGAATCTCGGTTTCGAAACAGTCGCGGCCGTTGCTGCGGAGCGACGCGACGCGTCCCGCCGCTTCTGTTCGGGCCGCGCCCCGATATTCGCCGCCAGTACCGCGGGTCTGCGCCTCACAGCGTGAACCGCAAGACTTTCGGTGCCGGCGGCGAACATCCTGGGCGCGGCCTCGGACTTTTCCCAAGTTTCTCCCGAGACGATCCCGCGGCGGACGTTCCCGTTTTTGAAACGAGTCGGCGAAAGATGGCCGCGGTCTCGCGCAGCGCCGCCCCGCTGCCGCACCCCGTACCTCGCGCGAGCGTCTACGGCGACGTCGGCGGTCTAGGGTCACGCGCGGTCTAGCGTCACGCGCGGTCTGGCGTCACGCCGTAACGCGCTCGTTCCACGTCCGTCCGCGTCATTGCGGCTGATTGAACCTGGCGTTTCGGCGGCTACGCGGAGGAAAACGCACCGTGCGAGGTCAAGTCGTCTCGTTCGTGTGGCTTAGTCAACGTCAATCGGCAAAATGAACAGGCTCTTCGGACGTGGCAAGCCAAAGGAGCCGCCACCGAGCATCACGGACTGCATCGCAGGGGTAAGGGAGATAAATCTATTGTCGTCTCCTGATAACAATCGCGCTCTGGTTTTCTCTTACTGCGCCAGTCCCCGAGATTCGCGCGATCCTACGTCGCGGATGACGACCGGGTGGCGTTTTGTAATGCTCCCGAGGCGATGGGGGTCCGTTTGGTAAACGTGCGACGTTCTTGATCAAGGTTGACAGTAGGGCGGACTCGGCGGAGAAGAAGATAGCCCGGCTGGACGCGGAGCTGAAGAAGTACAAGGATCAGATGGTCAAGATGAGGGACGGGCCGGCTAAGAACGCGGTGAAGGCCAAGGCTCTGCGTGTGCTGAAGCAGCGCAAGATGTACGAGTCCCAGGTAGACAATCTGCGGCAGCAGGCGTTCAACATGGAGCAGGCCAACTATGCCACGCAGACGTTGAAGGACACCCAGGCGACTGTGGTCGCAATGAAGGACGGTGTCAAGCAGATGCAGAAGGAATTCAAGAATATCAACATTGATCAGATCGAGGTGAGTTGCAAGTGATCTGCTGCGACGCGAGCTTCGACTAAAGCTTTTGAGTCAACCTTGTACGTGAGTCGCTGTTATTGTACGCAGGATATACAAGACGACCTGGCAGATATGTTGGAACAAGCTGACGAGGTGCAAGAAGCGATGGGCCGCAGCTACGGTATGCCAGAAATAGACGACGACGAGCTGGAGGCGGAATTGGAGGCTCTCGGCGACGACCTGGCTCTGGACGAGGACACCAGCTTCTTAGACGACGCTATTAAGGCACCTAGCGCTCCAGACAAAGAACCTGGAGCGAGTTCTGTCAAGAACAAGGTCGTTATTTTAACGAGAATACCCGCACAACTTTAGGCTGAAAACAATTCCGGACTTCTGACTATAATGTATTTTTTAATATGCTTATAGGACGGCGTTCCAGTGGACGAGTTCGGCTTGCCACAAATACCTGCTAGCTAAACTTAGAGTACATCAAAATTTATAGATAAGGCAGACGTAAGATTAAGAATATTCGCATGCATGCCCAAAGACGTACAATCTTCTAATAACACGGCATACAGCTTTTCTAATCGACACCCGCGCGACATTAGTGATACTCTGATAATGTTATGTTGACGTAATCTGCGCAAAAGGTTCATTTAGTTCCGCATTACTAAATTTTTGTTACTCCAAAGTCACTATTTTTATTAAACTTTAGTATTGTACATATATATATATTAATAAATTAATAAATATTGATTATAAATATAGGCAAATTTTTTGTTGCATATGCGAACGACACAAGATACATTTAGGGATTCCATTCGTCAAGTTCTTTTTACAAACTGACTTCAAATTACCTGCAATCTAGAGATATTTGTCTCCTCCATACTTTGTATTTCTGCATAACATTCACACAAATTAAGGACACTTTCTTTGCTTTCAATAAAATGCGTTTCTTCAAATCCATGTACCTGTGTATAGTGATGGACATGTGCCTGAAATGCAATTTGCAGTGTATAATAAAATACATATTTTATAATCGTGCAATCTTCAAATTTGTATTAAAAGAATAATATGTCTTGCATGTTTATTTAATCGCAGATTTTAAGAACAACAAGAACTAACGATTTCAAGGATAAAGAATTAGGTTTGTTCTTTAAAGGAGTGTCAAGTTACGTTAAATCGTACCTTTTTCTTGTACAGTTTAGAAAACTCTTGGATTATATCTTTGAATAGCGAGGACATGGCGGACGAATTAAGAAGACACAGTAATGACGACGAATGTCCTGCTGGAGGAACGGAACACAATCCTATTTTCATACAATCCCTACTCCACGAAGTAAATCTCGATTTGTTTTGAAACCTAGAAAAATGATATAATTACTCTGCTCCGCGTAGTCATAAAAAAACAAACGCAAAACAGATTATATACCTCTCAATATTTCGCTTTATATCAGTTAAGGTGGTATTTCCCCTTGCAATATGCGCTGCCGCAAGAATGACGGAAGTAGACTGAAGTGGATCTAATCTGATCAACTGATTATTCCGGGACCACGCGTTCGTGAACGCTTCGTCCTGCAGTCTTGAACGGTAAATTAACATTTTACTGTTTTAGATTAATTTTAAAATCCGAGAAATAAGAAGCAAAGGAGGAAAGTAATTACTTCGCTTCCTGCGTGGTGCACATATTCGGGGCGGATAAAGTCGCGGGGCTGATGCTGCTGAATATATAATGTAATCTTGGGTAAGGCACTAGATTCGTGGCCACTTCGTTCATATCCATATTCAAGCTGCCTGGAAACCTGGATCCGCTGAAACATATTGCCGTACACGGGTGTCCAAGTCACTGATCCGAGAATCAATTACCTGGTCAAGTGCAGAAGCATATTGACAACGATACTGTTCATGTCCTGAAACGGTCTGCACGAGGCGTTATATTTCACTTGGCCCGCGTTATCTCGTTTATTAATTTGCGCGTTACATATATCCAAGAGTGCTTTGTTCTCCACGGGAAGCACGCACGTGGCGTGCTCCACGAGTTCTCGGGTTGCAAGCAAGGTGTTGTAAGGGGCGGTTACGGTGTCCTGTGTGTTCGCTGGATACACACAGGCGACAATTCTGAAATATTGACGACTGATGTGATCTCCAATCTCCTCACGTCCCCAGTGTTCAGGCGCTCAACTAATTTAACCACCGTTCGGGTGTATTAATTAAACAATACCTTTCTACATGAGGGTAATTGTCTTTCAACAGCTTCAAGATCGCCGTCCCTAATCCAGAGCCAGTGCCACCGCCTAGAGAATGCATCGATAAGAATCCGTGAAGCCGATCGCATTTCTCGACCACGTGTCTCACGCTTTCCTCCAAACGATCGCGATATTCGCCGCCGTGAGTGTGATAACCTACCGCCCTAGAAATCCAAGTGATACTCTGGCGAATTTCTACAGTGTCGTTCAACTAAATGTTGCTTTTCGACAAACTACCAATTGTTTCCAGATCCTGGATAACTCGTCACGGTACACGTCTGATCGAACAACTTGCGCAACGGACCCTGTTTAAACCTCAATACGACGCTATCTTCCATGTCCACCAGGACAGCCTGCTTCGGAAAATTGTTGCGTCAAATACTTGCCAATTTTTACCATCACAACGTAGTTTTAAGGAACCAAATGGAGACGTACACACCCGAGCTTTAACTTTCGCCACGTTCAGGTCGGCCACGTCTTGAAAATGTGCTCTACGCTTGTCATTGGGGACGTGAAAAAAGCTGGTGAACCCGTCGGAAAGATCGCCGATGTGCTTGACGTGGTCTCGTTGCACCTTGAGCAGATTCACACCACCGGTGGTGGTCTGGATGCCGTATTCGTGCAAGGCCAGGGGCCAGAAAGCCGATCCTATTTGATTTCCACATTGGCCAACTGGGATGGTGAAAAAAAAAAGAGAATAAAACGAACATTCAGTCGTAATGGCTTCCGGATGGTTGACTGGCGATGCCGACGTTTCGCAAACACTGCAGTTTACATTATCAGGGCTGGGAGGCTCTGATACCGAGCACCCTTGAGTTGCGGGGTCAACTCTGTATCTAAAGGCTGGTCTACAATACATGGAGTAAGCTGGAGTAAGGAGTAGAAGTAAGGAAATAAATCCATTTTATTCCTTACTCCTACTTCAGCTCTTAGGCTTACTCTCGGTGAATCAAAATGCCATCAATCAGTGTTACAAATATTCTAAAAATTATGCCCGTATTTCAGCTTTCTTACACCAAAAGCTAGAAGTTAGGGTTCTCCCTTACTCCTTACTCCACGCTTACTCCACGTATTGTAGACCAGCGCTTACACTACAGTGAGAATGTTAAAAGTAAATAACTTTTAGCATTTTCACCATAGTCTAGCCGTCCTTTTAGAAGGAGACAAAGTCGCTCACTTCTAGCATTTTCACTATATTGCAAGATACGGAATTGAGCCACCAGTTCGCAACTTTGACAAGATCATTTGGACGTCGGTCGCACTTACCTTGCACCGTGACAAATTGACTCATTGTCGTATCCCGAATCTAGACCGTCGATATCGCTCATCAGTTGATCGTGAGTGTCTCCACGATGAAGATTATCTCCCGTCACGAGAACGTCTGCTGTGTCTGAGATTTTACAGCCGATTTCGTTTTTCCTTTACTTATGTTGCTTCCCTCTTGTGTCACGCTTTCTACCCTGGAACGATATGAATATATATTCGGGGATTGCTGGAGGAGAGACAGATGTTTACCAGAGAGAAAACGCCGGGTCAGCCGGGTGATCCTCGAATGCGATAGGACCTCTGTGGACATTGGAAAACGTGGACTTGAACTACGTAGCCAATATCCGCATTTTGCCACGTGGGTAACGTAGATTTACGAAATTTTGCATCAAACTTGCGTTCTTTTTGCAAAATTTGTAGTAGTTTGCTCTTCATAAACTTGGTGGTCCATATATTTTCTTGTAACTTTGCATTTTTCCGGTTATAAATAAAATAATGCCTCTCTTTTAGATTTGAACGAAAATTCAAGTCAAATCACCGACTTCCGAAGTAGAACAAGTTAATCACAAAAACGTCAATGTGACATTAAAATGATGAATTTTACGTCATAAAACGATCGACATCAAGATTCACTTTGCAATGGCTGATTTATGACATGCTCTTTTATGATATTCGCGATGTGTATAATAATATATTATTACAGATTACATGATCATGTATTATGTTTACCTTATATTACTTCAATTTACTTTTTATGTATAATATTTCATTAACTTTGCTTTGTAAAACAAGATCATTTTTACAACATTTTGATGTCTCAATGACGTCACAAATAGCTGCTCTCGGTGGGCTATTTTGACGTCACCGTGATGTGTAAAAAATGATCAAAAAATAACGTCAACACATATGAGAACACGCCAATGTGAGTTACAAGGCGAGATGTAGGTAGCCCAGCTTGTAAATCTTATAATCTTTGTGAAAATCGTGAATCAATGTACCGTTTTCTTTCCACATTGGTTCTACGCGCCGATTTCTTTTTCGGACGTAACGCAGGTTTTCTTACTGCGTGGAATTATTATCGTCAGCAAATTCACATATTTTTCTGATGTTACATGTAACATTCAATGCCCCCCTTTTCCTGTGCTGTAAATTAATCTTATTGCGAAAAATATTACCTGAATCCTCCCTCAATCCGTGACGGGCGTCTTAGCCAGCTCGACCACTGAGGCTGCAGTTCGATTAGGCCGATAGATCTGTAGCTCGATTGGGTAAACGGCACTCCCGAACGCGACGAGAAAGAAACTTTATGTTATACGCGCACTTTTGTTCGTTTAATTGTTAGAGATATTATTTCTTGGCAAGCGATCAGTATATTAAAATGTTTCGCTATTATTTCACTCGACGATTTATGCATTACTTTGCGCTTTTGATCCGAGAGTGTTAAATGTTTAATTTGAACCGACGAAAATTTTCAAGCACGACGCGAGATAGATTTATCCGAGTTTGATCGTTAAAAAAGGTATTAGCACTAATAATTTACGTATGTAATTCCCTTATCGTATTTTCTCTTCAAATCACGCGTGTTATTCACCTTCATAAATCGCCGTAGAAATCAACGACTTGTTTGCGGATCGCGGCGAGTACTTAAACGCGATTGATAAATGTTAATAACTCGCGTACGAGACGATCGCGTTACGAGAAACGATGCGAACACTCGCGGGACATCCGCCCAATTCGACTGAGCCTCGTCAACTGATTCGGCACAATAGATTATTGTCGTTCGAGGTGTTCACGCTACGTAGTTTTTTGTAACCGGCGCGGCGCTCGGTTTAACGACCGAGTTGTTTACGAAGCTACGTCATCAATTCTTGGAATCCACGCTCGGTCTACGGCGCTCGGTGAAACAATACAAGGTGACACCGTACGCATGTTCATTCACGCGGTGTCAAATAAATCGATTATACCCGCGCCGCTCTACATATCGTATTATTATTTCTTGATACGCGTTTGCTGAATTTTCGCCATTTGCCATCGATGCTCGCTCGATTAGCCAGCAAGGCAGATATCTAGCGCGATTCATACATGAGATCTTTACGTCCAAGAATCAAAGCGTTAGCTAACTTGAAATTATTTCTACATTGCGATAATTACGGGCGATAATTGCTTCTTTAAACGCTCATAATCAAACACATCTCGTATCACCGTAGTGAATCTCTCGTCGCTTCGAGTATAATTTGTTGGCTGTTTCTAGATTGAAAACGCGAAATAGTACACGAAATATTGAATCGAGTGCTTTAACTAGCATTTATCGGTGATTTATTAATACTATTAGTTTATATACTTTTTACGGAATTTATAAATAAAAATACATGTGCGACAGTGAATTTTTAATTACTTTCGGACGATTACGTCTTGATTAACCGTTAACTGAGTTGTGTTTATTGTGTTGATGTTAAAATGTGCAATTTTCAAGTATTTCGTTTATTAACGAAAATGTATGATCTTGAAATTGTTCTTATATTAACGAAATCATACAAATGCTGGTCAGAATGCAGAACTTTGAGTCGAATTTCATTGCAATACGTTTAATTGAAGAATTAAATATTACTATACTGTCACAAAGGACATTATTGCCACGTGCCGTTCCATTACAAGAAAAAACGTTTTATGTTTAATATCCGTTAATTTGGAAAAAAATTGTTTTCTTATCAAGCACCTAATGCATCGACCTTGCTACCAAAAATAAAACGTTAAAGTAAGAGAAGTTAAAGTTAAGTATCCGAGTGCAGGAAAACGCTAAACCTAAACTCTTTTTTTAATATCCTGTATAACACCTCAAGCAGCAAGATGACAATTGATATCTTAATAACATTTCTAACATCTTAATGACATTTCTAATGTAAATAAGACGACGTCGCACGACATAAGAGACATTCATCCGAGTTCGATTGTTAAAAGAGGTATTGTCGATGTATCAAAACTAATAACTTATATGTATATGTAATTCCCTTATCGCGTGTGCCAAGTTAGTAACTTCTTGATCAAAGGTTTAACTTATGTATCTAATATCGGGATATTTTCACAACACAATATGTCACCCTTTAAAAAGAAAAACCGGAAACCTGATATTACACCTGTGACATCATGCCGAAATGCAGCGATAACAGAAGGAACGTAGATCGTAAGTGTCATTGTGGACATCTAGAGTGTTTTTTCATGCGAAATTAGCATCGATAAGAGGTCTCATAAACGTGTGTAATGCACCGTGCGTCAGTACTGTCCGCGAAAAGTTGCTTGTGTCATTAGCTCTACAAATGTTGGCTCTCACACAGGTAAGTCGGTACACTCTTGTGCGCTTGTTCGAAATTTTGTTATTATCAAGAAGAGGAAAGAAAAGTTTTGGATACGTCGAATAAAGCGCAAAAGGAGATAAACTCTCGATTCACACGCGAGCGGTTGAACGTAATTAGCAAGTGGAGCGTTAATTCGAAAAAAACGCAGCGACCGCTCCAAATATCATTTGCAACTTTTATCGCGCGCGGAATCAATTAAGACGCCTAGAATATCAAGATTGCATTAGAGTAATTATTTCTGTCAAATTTCTATCAAAGAGTAACAATTTAAAAAGGAACGCGACACACCTCGGTAAAGTGGCTGTCCACGGAAAGTTTCGGCGAGGCAAGAAACGATGTAAAAGACACCAGGCGGAATCAACGACAAATTTCGCTACTTTGGAACCGGAACCAATCGTTTACAAAATGAAGATACCGTTTCTCATCCTCTGTCTGGCCGTGGTGTACGGAGCCTGCCGGACATACGAGCATGGGAAAAACGACTTGACTACGGCGATACGAAGTAAATTTTAAAACAATGCTCTAATGTAATATAATTAGAGGAAAGCCTTCTATTATAAAGCAGGCTCCTAATATGAGACAGCGGAGTTTCTGCTAAATTAATAGGCTTCGTCTGTTGGTTCCACCATGAATTTATTGCCCTCGGAGTGAGATCTATTTAGTGGATAATTCATTGTTAGATCGTGTAATCGTCACGAAAGAAGATGGTGCTTGAATTTGGATGTTGAAAACCTGCTATCTCATATTAGAAGCCTCTCTCATAATAGGGGACTTCCCTTTAAATATAAACGTTACCTAAAAATGTTTCAACCGTTAGTGAAATTACACTTTGATACCTTGTGAAATTATAATATTAAATGAGACAACTAAAACTTTTTCACTTAAACTCTGCGCCGGATAATATTTTTAAACAATATCTTGCTAAATTATACCTTTACGTGCGTGCTTTTTTAAATAAATACAAATTTCTAAAATTTTTATATACTCAGAGAAGGAATAATTATTAGAAATAACATTCTGATATAAATAGTATTCGCGTTATATAAATAAAGTGAATATAATTAACATAGAAATTAATGTGTTTAATAAATACAACAATTTTTTCAATATATCATTGTTTTTTAGATAATGGAGATTATACATTGGCCTATGCAAATGTGCCTCTTGAGAGATTACTCTCAAGGCACAGCAGAGGCTTATTATCACCACAGAATATAATAAAACAAATTACAGCCATGGTAAATTTGGCATTAAAATTATTTGGATTTGATGATGGCATAGTAGCTACAATTCTAAGTACAATGGAAACAACATTGGACGTAATTGTGGAGACAGTATTCGACTTGTTCAAACAGTTCGTTACACGGGTATTCCTACCAGGATTGCACATAACGCTAAATACACTAAACAACACTGGCATGTTACCCTTACAAATTAGTAATATGATCGCGGGATTCAATACAGTTTATCGTTTATTACAATTCCTGAACATTGTTCCGCGATAAAAAATATTTTCCACTCTTCAAAGCACGTTAAATCTGTAAAATTATAGAAAAGCACAATAATTTAGAAAAATATATTTTAGAAAATATATGTTCTTTACTTTGTAAAACAGTCTTTTAATTCCATATAAGGCCAGAATTAAATTGTCTGTCGCAATGTAACACTTAAAAAAATCAACAAATATATAAAAAGTAAAATTAACAAGTCTGTCTAGGCGTTAAAAAATCTTCTGCAAAATTAATGTAAACAAAGTATGAGTTGTTTAAATAATTAAAAAATTTTTATATTTATAATTATTAATGTAATTCATATTTTGTCATGTTTTCAATTTTTAATAATGTTATGATAAATTGTACATCCTTTCAATAAAGGACGCATCCTTTCTAGTGTATACGATAAAAAGAATAAGTGATAAAAATAGACAATAAAAATCATTGAATTGTATAAATTCTATTTCTTTTTATACATTATCTTGTATAATCAGAAGAACAATTCTAACACATGATAAGAAAAAGGTATTTCATAAAGATACATTTCTAAGGAATACAACATATTTGAGCAAACAATTTACATTATTGTTTTAAAGTGGCCCTAAGCGACGTTTGCGCAAGTTTGAAAGATCTCGACCCGCGAAATCTCGATCCGCGAGATCTCGCCGCGGTCGAGCGATCGACTCGCCGCAGCCGTTTCTCCTCGGAGCAACAACGTTCAAATCTCCCGTCGGCCACCTGACCGTAGTGACCGGTGCCGGTGACGGCATGCGGTGATAGCGAACGCAGAGAGGAAAGAGTCTCGTCGACCTGGGAGAATGGACAGCGCGGCCGGACTGGCGAGATGGATTCTCCTGTGTTTCTGCCTGTCGCGATGCGCGTACGCGCGCCGCATTCTCGAGGAACCAAGTAAGCTAACCTCTACGTCGCGTCGGCCACCGGGCGATATGCCGGCCTCCCGACAATTTCGTTATCACAAATGACGGAGTTGACAGCAATAATACCGTCGAGACAATCGGTTGCAAGATAATGCGTTATCGACCGGCACTGCGTAATCATCAAAAGTGCGCGGTTTTTGCAACGAGGCTATTTTATTTTGCCACCGAAATGTATTCAATGGTTCAACAATTGTATTTTGCCTCCTGATCTGCGCGTCGAGCACCTGGAACATGTGTTGCATGTCGCTAAGATTTTTTATTGCCAAGTCGTTCACTCGAGTCGAATCTTTCTTTGTAACGTGCAACCAATAGAGAGCTAAGAAATCGCAGTCCTTTTCTGGAGTGTGGTGAACTTATTTGTCGTTGCGCAAACATTTGTTTGTTTACATCTGTTTCGTTTGATGTTTTAGGGATACACTTTCTGAATGCAGGTGACAGTGTACAAAATAATAATCCTGGCCTGAAAACGTATTGCCATAATGCTTCGTCAAAGTACTTGACGCATATGTGGAGGACTATGACTGTAAGAAGTTTTCAGGATACGGACACGTGATAAGAAAATTTGCACATGTTTACGATATAAGTCTTTGATGCTGCAGATGCACCTGAACATCAATTCCGACGCCTACGTTTTGTACGACGGTGAAACGCCTCACCAGGTTCACCGAAAGCACGATGAAAACGAAGCGTCGTGGAGCCTCAATCTGTTCGATACGGGAAAACACAGGCAGTTTAAAGTCAATCCCTTTGAAAACACATGCTTAGGCGTTTACGTAGACTCACCCAGCGAGTCTGGCTATATAATGACGCTGGTGGAAACCCGTAAGGATCCGAATTTAGATTTGAAGCTGCTCTACTTTGTGTGTTAACAATCGACGATATATATCATTCTTTGTTATTAGGTGTTAATGTTTGGAGACTGACAATGATGGGAATGGGTGTTATCGTTTTCTGGTGCGCCAAGTTATTGAGTCGGAATTCATTATTTTATTATGCATGCGGCATAACATTTGGGGTTACTTTGTCGATTGTTATTTTAATATACATGGCTGGGAAATTGATACCACGGGTAACTGTTTTAATATAAAATAATACTCTAACATGATTCTTGATAAAAATGTTGTTGTATTTCTGTTGTTAAGGGAAAAACTATGTACGTAATATTTGCCGCATCGATGAGCCTTTTCATTGCCAAAACATTATGGGAAAACATGCAGCTAATTGTGATACAATATAGAGAATGGGTAATGTGGTATGTTCTTGTTACATCGCTGATTAGTTTTGTAATTTGCTACCGTTTCGGTCCAGTTACCAATGCGAGAACGAAACAGATAATACAATGGTTTTTGCAGGTAAGCTACGTTGTATGATTTTCTCTCTTAATTCGTTATTATAAATAATTTTTTAAATATTCGTGTAGCTTGTAGGATTGGCGCTGGTTTATTATAGCAGTCACTTCTATGAAGCATCCCTTTCATGTTGCGTTATACTCATACTTTTGTATAATTTTCCGAAAGCAGCATTTGAGCGAGGAAGAAGGTATTGGTAAGCATCGTATATTATTGGTCGTTTATAATCAGATATAATTGTTGCACAGAACGGCAATTGTGTGATAATGCACTATTTTTCAGATTATCTGTTTGAATAAAACTCAAATCCGTTATGCACATACTCTCGCACATACTCTCCTGCTTACACTGTACTGGTTTTTTCTTTTACTAACTTACACTTTTATAATGATTTTGTAAATAATTAATATTATTTGAATATATAATAAAGTGGAATATGTTGCCAATGTTTCAACATACTGAATCAACTACTAAGATAATATACAAACTTATCTTAAGCATAATGCACAACTATATGTGTATATTATACATTTTGCAGGGTTTTCTTACTAATTTTTACTAGATATTTTATATTTTTCTATCTAGCATAATGTATTCAAATAATTTTTTAGTAATTTCTAATCTATAATGTATCCATTGAGCATTTGTATTTTCAGTTTTTGCAATAAAATGCATTGTATTCTTTTAGGTTGCATTTCATCCTTATTATTAATCTTATTTAAAACTACATAAATCTCACAAATATATAAGAAATGTTACAAGCGCATTATTAATCTGTGTAGATATTGAAATATCTTTATCTATTATTGGACATTTTTGAGATATTCGAAAATTGTCCAAATATGCAATAACAAATTATATATTACGTACGAATATACTTATTTCTATATAAAGGGTTTTTAAATATATTTTTAAACTTTTATACTTTTATGCCATTTTTAAACTTTACTTTGAACACACGAGAACGAGAAAAGTAATATATTACTGTTCCTTTTTTTTTTAATGAGGCGAAACGTGTTTCCGGAAAAGCGGAAATTATTGGATGAAGATGGCTATCGCCAAGAAGGAATTCGGCAAACTAGGAAAGCTTTGAAAGAACTACAACACTATTGTTCCAGCCCAGAATGTAATCCTTGGAAGACAGTTTTGAAACTGAAAGATCCGATAAGGTTACAACTTGTTAAATTTAATATAATATGCGATAAGAAATCATCGAGATTAGCAATATGGATGTGACTTTTAGATTCGCAAAATTTATGGAGGGAGAATCGCATTTGCTGGAAGATGAAGTCGACGAGCACGAAGAAGAAATTTCGAAAATTCTAGACAAAGATGATTACACGGATGATGATGACTCTTTCTGAGTACAAACACTTAAAAAAAATCTAATATTATGTAGAAATGTACTTATTAATTTATAAAATAGTACAAGTCTTGATAATAGTATATATAGAATATATTTTTGTTTGTGAGAGTTAATGAATATCTTTCATCTAAAGAGACTGAAGCAAGTACTTAAAACAATAATGTAAATTGTTTGCTCAAATATGTTGTATTCCTTAGAAATGTTTATGTCTTTATGAAATATTTTTTTGCGAAATGACATCATGTGTTAGAATTGTTCTTCTGATTATATGAGGGAATGTATAAAAAGAAATAGAATTTTTACAATTCAATTGTTTTATTGTCTGTTTTTATCACTATTCTTTTTATCGTATAGACTAGGAAGGATGTATAATTTGTCATAACATTATTAAAAATTGCAAACATGACAAAATATGAATTGCATTAATAATTATATATATATTAAAATGTTTTAATTATTTAAACAACTCATACTTTGTTTATATTAATTTTGCACAAGCCTTTTTAACGCCTGGACAGACTTGTTAATTTTATTTTTTGTATATTTGTTGATTTTTTACATTGCGACTGAAATTTTAATACTGGCCTTATTTTGAATTAAAAGGCTGTTATAAAGTGAAAAATATATTTTTTAAAATATATTTTTCTAAATTATTGTGCTTTTCTATAATTTTACAGATTTAACGTGCTTTGAAGAGTGGAAAATACTTTTTATTTCGGAACAGTTCCCGTCATTTTTAACACACCATAAACTACATTGAATATCGCGATCATAGCACTAATTTGTGGGGGTAACATGCCAGTGCTGTTTAGTGTATTTAGCGTCGTGTGCATTCCTGGCAGGAATACCTGTGTACAGAACTGCATGGATAAGTCTAATACTTTCCCCATCATTGCACGGCTTTGTGTCCCAACTCCTTGGACAACATAGCATGCTACGGTTTTAACCGCTCCGATTGGATCTAGTATACTATTTACGAACGTTCCGAGGGATAATTCTACTTTGGGACAATCTTGTCCCATAAATACACCAAGTGTTGTTTTCATCGTACTTAGAGTTGCAGCTACAATACCATCATCAAATCCACATAATTTTAGTATCATATCTACCGGGATTGTAATTGGTTTTATTATATTCTGTGGTGATAATAAGCCTCTGCTGTGCCTTGAGAGTAATCTCTCAAGAGGCACATTTGCATAGTCCAATTTATAATCTTCATTATCTAAAAAACAATGATATATTGAAAAGATTGTTGTATTATCGTAATTATTAAACACATTAATTTCTATGTTAATTATATTCACTTTATATAACGCGAATACTATTTATATCGGAATGTTATTTCTAATAATTATTCCTTCTCTGAGTATATAAAAATCTTAGAAATTTAAATTTATTTAAAAAAGCACGCATGTAGAGGTATAATTTAGCAAGATATTGTTTAAAAATATTATCCGGCCGGCGCAGAGTTTGTAAGTGAAGAAGCTTTAGTTATCTCATTTAATATTATAATTTCACAAGGTATCGAAGTGTAATTTCACTAACGGTTGAAACATTTTTAGATAACGTTAATATTTAAAGGAAAGTCCCCTATTATGAGAGAGGCTTCTAATATGAGATAGCAGGTTTTCAACATCCAAATTCAATCACCATCTTCTTTCGTGACGATTACACGATCTAACAATGAATTATCCACTAAATAGATCTCACTCCGAGGGCAATAAATTCATGGTGGAACCAACAGACGAAGCCTATTAATTTAGCAGAAACTCCGCTGTCTCATATTAGGAGCCTGCTTTATAATAGAAGGCTTTCCTCTAATTATATTATATTAGAGCATTGTTATAAAACTTACTTTCTATCTCCGTAGTCAAGTCGGTTTCCTCAGACTCGTATGTCCGGCAGGATCCATACACCACGGCCAGACAGAGGATGAGAAACGGTATCTTCATCTTGTAAATGATTGGTTTCGGTTCCGAAGTAGCGAAATTTGTCGCTGATTCCGCCTGGTGTCTTTTATATCGTTTCTTGCCTCGCCGGAACTTTCCGTGGACAGCCACTTTACCGAGGTGTGTCGCGCTCCTTTTTATTGTTACCCTTTGGTAGAAATCTGGCAGAAATAATTATTCTAATGCAATCTTTTGACAGCTTGACATTCTAGGCGCCTTAATTGATTCCGTGTGCGATAAAAGTTGCAAATGATGTTTGGAGCGGTCGCTGCGTTTTTTTCGAATTAACGCTCCACTTGCTAATTACGTTCAACCGCTCGCGTGTGAATCGAGAGTTTTATCTTCTTTTGCGCTTTATTCGACGTATCAAAAACTTTTCTATCCTTTTCTTGGTAATAACAAAATTTCGAACAAGCGCACAAGAGTGTACCGACTTGCTTGTTTGAGACCCAACATTTGTAGAACTAATGACACGAGCGACTTATTGCGGACAGAACTGACGCATAGTGTATTTACACACATTTACAAGACCTGTTATCGATGCTAATTCCACATGGAAAAAAGCTCTAGATGTCCACAATGACACTTACGATCTACGTTCCTTCTGTTATCGCTGCATTTCGACGTGATGTCGCAGGTGTAATATCAGGTTTCCGGTTTTTCTTTTTGAAGGGTGACATATTGTGGTGTGAAAATATCCCGATACTGGATACATAACTTACAATTCTAGTTAATACGATATTGCTTCCACACGTGCGTAAATGAACCTTGTTGAAATTAATTGTCGAGCGGTTTCTGAATTTTTCAGGAAAGAACGGTTTCGGGTCTCCTTTGCTTTGCACTTCGTAATACAGAAATTAAAACAACGCACGTACACTATGTATATTATATTTTTAAGCAGAATAATCGACCTTTCGAGCAAATAATTGGTCTAATGTATTCATAAGTAGTTAAAACATTATCTATTATTACTTGAATTAGTTTTACGTGGGGAAACGATAGAAAAAGGCTTGTTAATGTAATCATTTTACGTAATTTGTTGCGTAATGTATACAAGACGAAATTTAATTCTGTTAAATTTTATACTATTGTGTTTCAAGTTAATACTATAAAGATGTGAATGAAATAATGTTTTTACACTTTATTAGCTCGTTATAATTGACTTCACCATACAAATTGTCGAATAATATTAGACTTGTAAAAAGTTAGAAAATGATTTATTCTACTTTTCAATGTTAGACGAACATTTTACATAGCTAATTCGTAGCTGTTATCTAAAACAAAGTTTATCGCGGAATCTTGTTACATTATGTAACTAATATATACTTAAACATTCATTATGGAATTTTCCTTTTAGTAAAACATCGTAACGAAGTTTACGATAAGAAATTTTGCGTTAGGTAAGAATTGTTATGCTGTTACAAGCAAGGTTTCTTATTACACGAGCGCAGTGTTCAATCTTATATGTTACAAAAATAGAAGATTTCAAGTGCCCGTCGAAATCATTTAATCATCGTGCAGTTGACTTCCCATGGGACGATGGACTGTACCGTGCACGGTAAACACATTCCGTATATTTCCATTACATTATTTATGTATTGATTTAATGAGAGCTGGTCCGGTGGCAACAGTGCGAGTAGAGTAGTCAGGAGAGCATGCATATCATTGTCGTTTGATTCGATATTTTCTGCTATGGCTGTAAATGAGAGAAATTGTTTAGTTTCGATATGAAATTTTACTTTTACATTAAAGTTTATCGCATATAAGCTTTAATTCATAAATGTATCAGCAGAGGCTGTGTCGCCTTTTAAATACAGTACAATCTCGTTAATTTGGTCTATTAAAAGCCTGATAGTGCCGGATTGATAAATTTGTCGGATAATTGTAAAGTATAGAATATACCAGATATAAATAAAATACTCGTAATATATAAAGTTGTCGCAGCGTATTGTTGAGAAAAGCAGTCAAAGGATACACAGTTGTCATCATTGAAATATTCACAGAGAGTTCTCCTTCGCGTCGCGAAACGAGAAGAAACGATTTAGCAAACGCGAAAACGATGACAGGCACCGCGGTCGATCAGATGTTTTGGGTATTTGTCCCGTCGCCGCATCAGTTGATTTTAAAAGGGCAACGATCGGCCGGCTGTTTATAATTTGCGTTTCGTTAGACGCTCACCTTGTCTCGAGTGCTTTTCTTCTCCTATTTCTCGAAGGAGCTCGAGACAAAGGCGAGAACTTACTATCGTATAGCCAGGGCAGAAACGAGCTGAACGTTCGAGACTTCGCCGAAGTCTCGACGAATCTCTCTGTTAAATTTTTCTTTATCTCAAGCTTAAATCATTATAAGAAAAGTTATGCTGTTCGATCCCGAACATATATACATATATAATTAAACTTGTTATATAAAAAAAGAGACATATAATTTTGGTACGAAACAATTTGTTGCTTAGAAAACTGGTTTTGTATTTAACAGAAAGAAGTTTGTCTATTTGCAAGAAAACGATCAATCGCAGTTGATGGTCTGCCTGGTATTCTACTGTGATCGATCAATTTCTGAAATCTTACGCCTTAAAATCTCGTAGTAGACTTCGCGTAAGGGGCGGACGCTCGCGATAATGCCAGATTATTCGGACGTGTCGAATGATTGAAGGGTCGGATTAGCGAGATTATACTGTATTGTGAATCGAATCTGACGGACAAATTCCGTTAAAAGCGCACGTTTGCGTGAGCAATGGCTGCACTCCCTTTATGAAAGAAAAACTAATGTTCTCTTTTTATTATGCATTCGTTATCTCTTGTGCTATATAATTTTTTGCTGAATGCAATAGAGAATTCACTTAATTACATTTAAGTATGTATTACGTTTGTATGTCAATACTTACGACTGGCCTGAGCCATTATTATTATAGCGAAGAAGATAAGAAGAGCATAGACAAGTTTTCGTAACATGCTGCTGCTTGAGCACGCCGAGAGAATGACTGACATTTTCTTTCGTACGGTATTCTTATATATATATATAAATATGTTATATATAATTGTTCTATAAATATGAACATTATATGTGCAAGTTAAAGTCTTTACGGAAAATTAATTGTTGCGGACGAGTCATGGATTTTACTTGCGATAAACTTTTAGAGATTATTAATAGTAGCACTTACCGTTATCGCTTTTGTTTCTCGTTAGAGAAATTCCTGAAAAAAATAGTGGTAGAATAGCACTTAAATGACTCATGCGCCTTGGTATCTTGCAAAATGTGTGCCATAGTTGAAAATATGTGCCACTAAAATTAATGTTAATTAGATACGAAGCAACGATGCATATATTGATAAGTTTTATAGTCACAGTTTTGCGTCGTCAATTGAATGTCTCAATTTACTGGAACTCGGTAAAAATGAATGTCTTTCTTTTATTTTCTGGGGCAAACGTCGCAAAAACATTGCCAAAGGACTTTTTAAAGTAGGCAAAATATTGTTGGTTTATATACAAGCCGAGAAAATTGCGTACATTATACGTACGTGATATTCTTAGAGCACATCAGCTCCGGCAGTTTTAAATTGTAATTAAAAAAAAGTATCTAAAGTTAGAAATAAAATTATCTAACATTAGAAATAAAAATTTTACACAATTGTAATTAGAACATAATTAATGTGTATTTCTAAACTCGTAATGCGCGTGATGAGATCAAAACGAGTCTTGTACAATCTAGATCTAATTGTAAATATTTGCTCGAAAAATGTTTATGATGTTTACGTTATGTATTCATTTATTGACTATGCTGTTATTACGTGCATAAACATCGCTTTCTTTGCATCAAGAAGATTTTTACTGACGTTTCTCGCTGATCTTTGGGTCGAACATATAGAATCATGCCAGTCACTTTTTGATTCACTGTTTTGTATTGGTAGGACAAATCAATAATGCTGATAATATTTTACGTAATCTCCAGTTTCAATTACGTGTCCAAAATTCAATCATTGCTCACAGTTTTCATCCGTAGTTACAGTTCTCCATTATTAATTACAGTTTTCAGCTACAGAAATTATCAAAGTGCAATGTGGTAGTATTTAAATCAGATTTCGATGTGTAATTTTCAACCACGAATTATCCGATTGGTCGCTTCGTACGGAAACCAATAAACAAATCGGTCGTTCAATTTGTGTAAATCCGCGGATTTCGCAAATCATTTTGTGAAACGATATTCCACTCGGAATAACCGACAATGTACAAAGGTTGTTTGAACAATAAATAGTGGCGTGGCTCGGTTTGCGCAAACCGATGTGCAGATGCGTGCAAATAGAGCAGATGCATAATTTATTCCGGACTCGGGGAATCGATGTGCGTATCAGTCGATCGAGTTTACTTAGGAAATGGCTTTGTTCTTTGCATTCAAATTAACGTCGCGTCGCGTGCAAGCGCAGTCGCGCGATCCTTAACGTCGCATCCAAGTCAATTGATGCGACGAAACTGATTAGTTTGATCCACAGTTGTACAACTGTTTTTTGTTTGTACAACAATTATGGATACTTAATTATATAAGAAGTGTGTTTACCGATCCAGTGAAATTGCGATCAGACACGCGATCGGCACGCGAATGAAACTTTCGTGTTCTCTAACGCAATAGAGGGGTCAGGGTCAGATAATTGTGGTGCGACAGGTATAATAACTGATAAGTGTGCGCCCTTATCTGACATTAAAATTAAATTCACTACTTTCTGCACCGCAGTCGGTGCGAAAAAAAATGTAGTGTGGATGCAACCGTAAAATGCATCGGATCCGGAAACGTTGCGCATTATCGTATTCGATCCGTCGAGCTGATTCGTGAAACCGATCGGATCGATCGTGCCGTCGGTGATCGTCGATTTGCGCTGAGCAGTCGCCCGACGAAGGATGTTTTGCAAGCCCGATCTCTGTTCAATCTTAGGTCTGATTGCCCTCGCATGGGCGACGTCCGATCTCCCGTCGGGTCAACTTATCAGGCCGGTTTACGTGTATCAGGGTCTGATCAAAGGTATCCACGACTATTTCAATAACACGTGCGTCATATTTCTGCACAACAATCGGAATCCTGTTGAGACGCAGGGTAAGAACAATGTGAAGGCAGAATAGCGCAAATATTTCGATCGAAATGATCTGGTGCAATCAGATCTCGGCACCCGTCGTGGAAATGTTCGGAATGAATTCCGATCGGAATTGTTCCGTTTCCCGCAGGAAACACAATGGAAATCTAGAAAACAGTTGAACAATTCCGAACATTTCCATGATAGATATCCTGATGTAATCAACTGTCCGTATTGTAAACTCTCGCTTTGCAGGACTCGAGGAAAACGAACGCATGCTGCTTCTTCAGAAATACCTGAGCATGACTTATCACATACGCACCACTTTTATGGATTTTCATATGTTTAACACACGAGTAAGTGTGTACAGGGAAAAGGGATTTGTCCCTTTTCCGCCAACAGTGCAATATAATTTGTTGAACATCAAAGCGAAACGTTCTTTTGTAGCGAAGCGCTTTAATGAAGGCAGGATCATTTGTGCACCTTATTGTCACAAATGATGCGCTTATTTCTTGCCAAAGAAAGAAGAGATTTGATTGCTTGCAGATCGGCCAAAGTTATCATCACATCAAGAGACCTTTGTTCGTCCTGCTGAACGATTACGAAAATACAAGGGACGGCTTTGCAAATGTAAGTATCTTTTAATCGTTTAAAGAACGCTATTAATAGGCCTCGATTCGTTATTCGCTTAGTCGACGGCAATGTTATTTTAATTTTTAAACTCAGAAACTTGCTGCATTATTGCGCATAAAAATATAAAAAAAACCTCAATTTTTATTGCAATAAATATATGTTAATCACGCAAATTTGATGCGATGGAAGTTTTGCTTCCGTTATCCAAGTTTTAAAATATCGGAAAATTAAAGTTTTACAGTTTTGAAAGATTTTCTTTTTCGCCATGAAAAGTACTACTTTCTCGTTATCGTTTCCTCGTGAAACGAAGTCTGGAAAGTTGCCAAGCGAAAACAGGCGACGTGAATGTTTATTTGCTAAAATGTAGCAGATCTCAACGTGGATCGCGATGGCTTATCCTACCTGGCTGGTGTTCTTCGGTAACGAGACCACATTCGCAGACTTTTTCCTTGAGATTTACGTACCATTTGATTGTAAATTCATGGTGGCTCAGAGCAGCGCCAATGTAACCGGCGGAGAGATCATCACGGAAGTTTATCAAATTGACAGAGGGAAAGAACTGAGATCGATGCGGTTTGGTGTATGGGACGTAAAGAATGGTCTGAAGGGCCCTAAGCACGGCCTATTTTTAAGAAGGAACAATCTTTTCGGCCAGAATATACGCGTTACGTCGGTCCACGTAAGGGTTGCTTATCCTATTTTCCGCACGAGATCTCTCTTGGATGGTCAATCGAGCACGCACTTAGCTAGTCATTGAAAAAGAATAATAATGATATTTAAATTGATTGTAATTAGTGGAATAGGTTATTAGTAATAAATTGTTGTGAACTTTTCTCCTTCTGTATCGCGCATGACCTAACAACACTTTGAAAAGTGTTAATTACTTAACATCTTGCATTCTAATAAAATTGGAATTTTCTTTGCCAGTGTATTGAAAATCAAATAAACTCGATGTAGTGACTTATCTGGCATTTATTATACTGGTCACAACTAGTTGTGACACTAGGGTTGTGACCAGTATAATAAATGCCAGATAAGTCACTACATCGAGTTTATTTGATCTTGCATTCTTTTATTAATCTTTTTTAAAAATAGAAATTTCATTATATTTATGATTCTTGAGGGAGCTCAATAATTGTTTCGGCGTAATGTTTTTGTACGCGAAGGACCCTCCTATCAGTCTACTTCGCCGTAATAAACAGCAGGAGATAATAGGAATAAGTGGTTTTTTCGGGCAAGTGCTACGGCTATTGCAGGAAACACTGAACTGCACGTAAGTGTACAATTAGATAAAAACTGTGTTGTGTGCGCGAGGGAAGTCATTATGTGAAATTACGCAGATAAGCATTATTAAACTTAACGATTTATATTATCTAACAAATTCCAAAAAAAATATATAGAGAAAAGTCCTGTATTATGAGATAGGATTCTAATACGAGATAGCAGATTTTCAACGTCCAAATTCAATCACAAATCTTCCATTACGCGATCTAACAATCAATTTTCCGCTAAACAGATTTCACTTCGAGGGCAGTAGATTCATGGTGAAACCAACAGACGATGCCTATTAATTTAGTAGAAAATCCGCTGTCTCATATTAGGAAACTATCTCATAATAGGAGACTTTCCTCTAGAATTCATTGGATTTGTGACTAGTTAAGAATTGTAATATATTATATTGTAACCCTTGCACATTATATCATTTTTGTCCCGATTTTTTTTTATATGGTTTTATCAGCTTAATCAGGTTTCTTTTGCTTGTCTCCTTTTTTCGCTGACTTATCATTTTCCTTTGCTTTTTTATTCTTTTTCTCTTCTTTAAGTTGTTCTTGCTTTTCTTTCAGCTCTTTTAATTGTCTCGCGGTCTCTCTCCGAAAATATTCTTCCTCGTTAGCCGCTGCTTTTTCCTCGAAGATCTCCCTCTTTCTGCCATCGCCGCTTCTTCGACGTCTTTCCGAATACGTTCTTGGATTATGTGACGGACACCTAATTGTATTACAGGATTAGTTGAAAAATATTAAAGTTTTTTTACGTCAAAACACAAAGCATGGAATTTAGTATAAAGAAAGAATTACGTTTTAAGTTGGCGTAATTTATACAACAAATAAAGTGAAACATACTAGACATTAGTATAATACATTTAAATCATCTAACAAATAATAATAGTATAATAATAGCTTAAATTGATATTTAATTAATATTGAAATGGACATGATATAATAATGAGAAATAATGTTTCTTTCTATTTAAGCACTTTTTGCCGAGTTCGATAAAAATGATGCTATAACATCTTGAAAAAGGTTACATCGTTGGTTTGATCCTTTTCAAGCTGATCCATTTTGCAGTAAGATTGCGCAGCATGACGTTATCATTGCTCCCTCATCCTGTGTCCTTCTTGCTTTCCCTTATTCCGGAATTGTCGCAACAGCTATCGCTGCTCGCAAAGAGTTATCAATAATTTTGGCATAATTTTCCAATTGTCTATTTTCGACTTTGACAGCTTTTGCCAAAGTTTCGCCGTGAAGTTTCTTCGGAAAAAAGCGCACAATTGTTATTGGACACTAACTCCTTTCTTATACAGGCCGCGACAAAATTGCTGACTGTACAAACCGATTTTACCTCCAAACGTGCTGCAGATTCACCTACAAGGAGGCCACATCGTGGGGCATGTGTCTACCCAGCGGCACGTGTACGGGTGCGATTGGGATGTTGATGAACAACGACGTCGACTTCGCGGCGACGGAGTTCATGATGACCTCGGACAGATTAGATGCCATCAGTTTTACACTGCCCATTTACACGACCAAGTATGTACCTCTTCCTCAAAAATTCTAAACGACGCGGACATCCAACGAGGTGATATGTTAGCGGCAAGTTCGATATGTCTGGCGCTCTATTTGAAATATTTCTGTATCTGGTATCAGAAAGGGCAAGTCATAAAAAATTGTGCAAAATTAATAGGATTCAAGGGAAACGTATTAATCATGTTAATTTAACTGTCTAGACGTTAGATTTCATCGAGTTCGTTAATAACTAGCGAGTTTATGAGCCGGTGTAACTGAAATCTATTATTCACGTTTTCTCTCTGTTTTAAGATGTCGTGCTTACATTAAAAGGCCTTCTTCGACTGACATAAAATGGAACGCTTACACGGCGCCATTCTCCGCGACCATCTGGGGCGTCATCGCGTTTTTCGTCATACTTATGAGCGGATCGATCGTGCTTGTTCAGAGATTATTTGCATTCACGTCTCCGTATCGAAATAACAACCGTACGAGATTTACAGAAATCTTATTTTTCGTCGTGGGAGCGTGTTGCGGCCAAGGTAGCTTCGACTTTCACGTATACGATCCTCCCACTCGAGTGCTTGCGCGCTTCTTTTGTGGTTCGGTATAACTTATCTTTTTTAAATATACGTCCGCTAACTCTCTCACGAGCAATAGTATCCAGGTATGAAACAATCGACGCTGGATCCCGTGCGAATGGTGCATTTCGTAATCCACTCATCGGCCCTCGTGATAGTGGCCGCGTATTCCGCTGCCCTGATTAGTTTCCTAGCCGTTAAAACATTTGTCATGCCCTTCACGACAATGGACGGCCTTCTGAAAGATGGGACCTATCGTTTCGGTGTCGTCGGCAACTCGGCCGACTTTACGTTCTTCCAGGTGCCTAAAATAATTTTTACTGTTAGATTATACCAAAAATTTAAGAAAGACTTCAATAATTAAGTAAAAAAGGAACAACGAATCAGGCAATAGGAGCCGACACAGTCAGCCAGAGAAAACTATGTTCGAAGGCACGTCCATCCGACGCGACAGCCACAGTAGGACTACAGTCAGGGGACGTTACGTCGGAAAGTAAGACACAATTGTATTTTTATTTGATGCATTAAATTATATATACTTCACACGTAACGCCTTGTGTTGACTCCTATTGCCCGATTCGTTGTTCTTGGATTATCATTGCCATAAAACCAGGGCGGACGCTCATTGCATATTTCAAGTAAATATGTCGCAGCGATGTATTTAGTGACTAGTTAAATGCGTCTTTTATTAATATAGGAATATAAATTATGTACTGATTTTTTATTTGAATTTTTGTAAAAACAAGTTAGTCTTCGTTTCGCTCATTTTCAATAAGAGTCATATTTACGAGGAGCTTCCTGTATATACGATGTTACATTGATTTGCGATGATTTCATTACGACAGAACACATCGGACCAAATAATGAACGTACTGTTCGATGAATTATTACTGAAAGAAGTTAATTTGCCGATTAATTACTTGGACGGTCTGGAACGCGTCTGCAAGGAGGACAAATACGCATTTATGACACTGGATAATATGGCAGCGTTGCTGCAGCAGAAAGTCGATTGCAAGTTGGAACCATTGGACGTTATCACGCATACCACTATAGCGATGGCTCTGCGGCGAAATAGCCAGTACCGTAGTATCATTGACGCAAAGTGCGTGTGAGCTTCATTGATGCAAAACAAGTTAAGGCCCGGTTTCACCTAACGTCGTTCAACTTTAATCTTAGTTTTATTCACGTTTGTCTCTCTCTCTCTCTAAAGCAACCGTTAGAAAGAGACAAAGGGCGAATTAAGCTAAGCTTAAAGTTAAACAACGTTGGTGAAACCGGGCCTAAGTGTCGTTCTGGTAAAGATTTCCGTTATTCCGTTCGTTGCAGCATTCTTTTGCTGAGGGATAGCGGGATCCTGCAGCGTTTGTTAGAGACACAGTGGTCGGTCCAGCTAAACGCAAAAAGTGTACGTGCTTACAAAGTTTGCGAATTGCCACTCAATGGGCAGATTGGTACACTCGCTTCTGATTACAGACAAAATCAACGTGGAAATCGGTCGAGATCGGCGACATAATTCCGCTGCTGCTCTTCATAATCGTCGCGGTGCTCGTCAGCTTTCTTGTCTGCGCTATTGAGCGCGCTATGTTCAACAGTTTTTCCCACCGAATCAAGATAAAAGTGATTGAGCCTCGACAACTGCGGACGACGTTGCGTCGTTAGAGGATGTTACATTTTGTTTAATCAAAAATTTTGACAAATCTGCCAGTCGTCTGATCTCAGCGTATCTTTTACTTGTTTCCCGGTTTACGTACAAAGTGAATAACGGATAGATTGTTCCGAATTCTAAACACTTCGTTTCGTGTTTATGATCTCATGTGTAAGCTTTATTTACGTCAGTAGGACGGATAGACGGTATAACCGGGTCAAAATTCGTATACACTCTAGGATGTGTTGATTTCCCTGGCAGTCGTTTCAAGCAACTGTTACGACCAGGTTAAAGCCTCGTCTTGTGCAAGTGTGTTACCGCAGTGATTTTTCCGTTCGTGCCATCGGATTAATAATTGAATAATTGAAGTATTTGATATAATTACAATTATCTATCAATATTCCAAGTGCACATATATTTGAGATGTATACTTATTGTACAGATCTTATATATGGAACGCACATACTGGAAATATTATATATTAAACGCGAACATATTAAATATATCATTGAAATAAAGTATTAAATATTAATATTGTAGTATATACAAGATATCACATGGCTAATTATTATTAATTATTAATCGATGACGCATTAGTTTTCACGTATATATCTGGAGGCCAAACCATGCCGACGAAGAATTCTGCGGTACGCCGCAAAGAACCTGCCGCGAGGTACGGCATATCCACGGGGAAGGAAAATACAGTCGTACAAAGTAGCAAATTATCCGACGTCAAGAATGACGGTAAAAAGAAGAGAGGCCTATCGCTGAATGTGGAAAATCGTCCCGTATGTACGGCAGCAAGCTCGACGCGAAGTTCTTCCGTCGGCAAAGCGAAGTTCCCGATTTACACCGACGACACCGACGAGGGTGCCCGATCACGCCCCCGCGCACGAAAAGACGTGTGCAGGAAGGAGATCAGGGCAAGGCAGGATGTCGAGGGGTTCGAAAAGACACTTTTATCGTCGACGAAGATACCGGAAAGCAACAGTCCTGCTTTACGTGCCGTTCTACGCAGGTAAAAGAAAAAAGAACGCCCTGCGAAAACTTAGTTCCGTTTTAACAATGTAAATTGAAAATTAAACTTGACGCTTTTCTCTAACGATATATTAACACATAGAACGTTAGAATTATAGAATTGATAATATAAAAAACACATTATGTTTTGTACAGAGCACGTTCTTCAAGCAGCAACCGGTACAGACTTTCTTCGAATAAAATGGTCATTACAAATAGCCAATTATATAATCGGAGGTAATTTTACGTACAAATAAAACAAGTTTTAATGAATCTCTTTTATACAGAGGGTATGTTGTGACTTATTTTTATATTACTGAGTTTGAAAAATATGCAGAACTAAAGAACAATGTAGAATAACTTGTTTAGATTTTATTTTCAAAATTCTAATTGAAAAGGACGTTTGAGTTTTGCTATAACATTACAGCTGACTTGATCTAATGTTTACCGTTCTATTTCTCTCTCTGTCCCTCTGTTATAAAGTAAAATGTCATGCTTTTTGTAAATTTCCTATGTCCCTTTCTTCAATTTCTTATAATTCATGTCAATTAAATGTAAGCAACTTATACAACGTTTTTTCTTTTTGTCTTAAGCTTTAAATTTAGCTCGAAGTATTGATATGAAAATGTTAATTAAAAAAAATATGCATATCACTCATTAAACAGAGCATCTTTTAATAAGAAATAAAAATATAAATTATATAAGTTTTTGTTAACGTCCATTTATACTATATTGATTTTATTAATGTTTATTTAGATGTTATATTTATTGTGGCATTAATACATTACATTTTATCTAGAGCTTTTTCCGAAAGCAGAAAGATTTCGTTGCAACGCTCACCCTACACCGTACAATTATCCGACAATAAAAAAATCAGCCATCTTACACACGAGGTTAAAAAACGAACGTTCTCGAGCATTGAAATGTGGCGGGATAAAATGAGAAAGCATAGTTAGTATTTTAAGAAAGCATAATAAAGACCCAAGTTGTACGAGCGGGTTTAAATTGAAAGAATTCTTTTTTATTTGTGAATTGTTTCAGCTGGTACAGTGCCCAAAAATACTGCTAAACGTACTGAACCTAAGAAGAAATGTTCTCCAGGATTTGTGGATTTGCAATTCGATGTATTAAAAAATCGCCAGAATAATGTAAATGAATATTTTCTTACTCCGAACGAAGAACCGCCAAAGAATGAAAGACAGTCAAAAGCCGATTCCTTGGCGGACGTATTAAAATTTTTGTCAAATGGAATGGCAACTCTGGAAAGTGGCACACATTTGAAGGTACCAGCTAATGCTAACACAAGGTAAGCGTAAAAGACCCGCGGGAATAAAATAAAATAAAGCTTTCATTAGTAGATTTTTAGTATATTATTAGCGCGTAATAATATACTGTAAAGTATTCAATAATTAAATATTAATATGTAATATTTAATTATTAATGAAAGGCAACATAAAAATCTGTAAATTATGGTAAAGCAAGCATGAAATACGCTTTGTCGAGCTTTGAATTATTCCAAACATATCTTTTTTAGAAACCTTACTCCTGAAATTATTCAGAATGATAATTCAAGCAGTACAATCGTGTCTACCTCTACACCTGCAACTGGCCCTTCCTCCCTGTCATTGACTCCAACAAAGGTAAAGAAATATAATCTATACGAACAGCACAAAAATGTATATGTTGACGTTATTAGTTGATTAGTCATTTTTGGCCATTTTACAAATTGGTGTGCGAACTGCAATACGTGCACTTTGAAAACAGGTTTACAATTACTCAAGTATGTTGTTATAATTCCGGTACAAGTAATTTAAACAAAAGTAAATTGTCTTGCATCTCTCATCTAGTGCGATATGTATAAATAATTTTCATATTTTTCGTAAAGGTGCGCCACGAAAAATACGTAATGGTGAAATCATCGATGAACCAGGAAACCGAGATAGACGTCATTGGAACGAATTACATACTCGATTACCTCGATCACGTGGTGGAAACCGAACGCACGAAGGAGGAAAGTGCACCGAGACTTTTCTCTCGTTTTCTGCGCGAGAATGTAAGCGCAAAACAAAGAAGACTCATCGTGGGATACATTATACGTCTTGGCGTAAGTGTAATGTGGCATAGTTACGGATATTAATATAGATGGAAACTCGTTGAAAGCGGTATAAAATTGTGTTTAGTATCACTAAACACATAAAGTGATCTTTGTATTCATTAATTGCAAATGAAACGAAAACATGTAAAATATTTTTATTGAGTTTAATTAGAACGGAGAAATGTTTGAGCCGAAATTCTACATCAGTATGTCGAATTCTGTTTTACGATTACGATTACCCTTAGGTACACTGCTACTACACGTCGAGTATTGTTTATCAGACGATCAAACTATTTAATGTAGCTATAGACAGAATTTTGGTGGACACGAATAATATACAATTAGTAGCTCTGGCGTGTCTCTGGATAAACCTCAAGCGCGAAGCACCTTATAATAAAATACCATCGGTAATAAAACTCCGGAAAAAAAGATTGAAGGAGAATATAATTAGACGATTAAAAGAGCTGTAATTTTTAAGTTCGTTGAATGTCTCACGTAATCAAATAATCTTCGTAGGCGACTGTAATATTGAGTTTGGCGAAGGATTTGTACACTGATCAGGAGAAAGACTTGCTGATGTATGAGAAGAAAATTCTTTCCGCCGTTAATTTCAACACACGATTTGCTGATCCATTCTCGTTGCTCTCGTATTACATACTGATTGTAAATCGAGACAATAATAGTAACGTCGTTAGATCGAGTGATATCGCGCGCCTCTATTTTTGCGGTAGTTACATGGTAATCAAACATAAGCAGTGTATGCAGTGATTTAGCTTTCAGTGTGTAAATTGTGCACAAAAATTAATAAGCCTCCTCTATTGTAGATCGATTTATCTATGCTAGAGGAAAGCTTATGCGATATCCCGACGTGTGTGATAGCAATGGCCGCAGTAGAATTGTCGTTTCATCTTGTATATTCGAGTGACGATAATATAAATGAAGCGTGGTTCCAAGTTTGGAGGCGCAAACAGCTAACAGAGTAAGAAAAAGATTTAAAGTTAAAAAGATTAAATAGACAAAACGTTCCGCTTTCTATCTTACACGGATGCTACATTTTTCTTAAACCACGGACATATTAGTTTTGCGATGAAGAAAATCTAATTTGTGGAACGTCCTGCGAGAAAGAATTTTGAAATTTCGCAAGACACACTAATTCACAGCTTATTTCTTTTTAGATGGGAAGAAAGAATGATGAAGTCTACAAAGCGGCTTATGCTGCAGCATGCTCTAACACACGATGAGTTTGGTTCGAGTGTTATATATAAAAAATACTTGCGCATCCGATTTGGTAGTGTTACAAATTTTCTTCAAGATAAACTGATTACATTAAAGATTTAATCAGAGGTGCGGAAAGGATATTTAAGCGTTAACTTCCTATGTTTCTTTTACTTACACGAATATTATTTAGATATGTTGTTTGTTTTGGTATCAAAATACATTTTATATTTAATTTGCGCTGGTCGCGTACACGTTTTATAGTTTACAAAAAATTTGTTTTATTATATTAAAAAATATTTCTTTTAAAATAATTTAATTATGTTGATATGTGATAGGATAAATGTACATCCTCCTCCTCAATCCTTTGCCCTTGACAGGGCGTGGTGGCGTCTCATGAGTTGGCTCTCGTTGAGTCATACATACATGAGGCGCTGTCTTGGGAAAATAATCAGGTGGTTTCCCCTTGCCTGCCTGATCGTATACCGTTGACTACATTAAATAGTTCATTCGCCTTTGAGGGTGATTTCTCGCCTCTCAGGACAAGACAGTGCCCTATCCAGCAAGCTGGTTGGTCGGTCCCCCCTCTCGCTAAAGGGGTATGTGTGGCGAGATATTCTCGGTGATTGCCACTTCCCGTTCGAGAAATGGCGGCTGAAAAAATCAGCGGTGTCCTGGCTGGATTTCTGGATTTGAACTCGGATCGTTTATTTACTAAGCAGCGCACATTTCTCTGTGCCGCGCTCGCCACTAGTAATGTACATATATGCTCGGAAAAAAATATATTTTTATTATCGAGAAAGTTTAAAGAAGCACGACAAAGTGTTTGATTCAAGTTCACACTCGGCGTGACTTCTTAAAAGACTGGTGGTCGTGACGTTAAGACGCGTAATCTCTATCGCAGATAATACACTGTCAGTGCGTAAATATAAGCGAGGTTATCGACAATATTTTACTTATCTAACAGCCCTCTCGGGTTATTGATATATGACTTAATAGCGATAATTTTTCAGCAACAGAGTAGCAATATCACATGTACTATAATCAAGAGCTATCAAATAGTATTCAATTCTTGTTCGTCAAGTTTCAATGACTGCCATGATCCTGTTGCATATCTGCCCAAGCGTTCCACTTGTCCCATGTGCTGTCAATGGACATCAATTCCTTTGTATCGTCCTAAAGACAATGCCATATCACATTAATTTTTTTAAATAAATAATTTTCTGTGTGCGATCACGAATATAAAGAACGACATGTTGCAAGGAAAGTAGAAAAGTCCTAATTACTTTTTACGACGCTATACGATAGCGACGAATTATCTTTAAATATTTTATCTAAAATCTCACGTAATCAATTTTATATAGTTTTACAGTATAATTTTGCTAATAAATTGATATATTTATATATATCGATTTATATAATTTAATAGTGGTATAATATGAAATAATCTATTTATAATGTAGTTAATACAAATTCGACTAGCCTGTTAATTGTTTTAGCCAAATAGGAAATGATGATCTTACCTTGAATAATACGTTGGGCTTGTCGCCCCAGGCGCCAAAGAGACGTAGCAGATCCGGTTTATCGGAGTACAAGGTGCTCGCAGCTAAAATGCCATGTTTCAGTTCTTCGAGGGCGTTCGGGCTCTTCCCGGCCGAGCTAACAATTATTCTCGGTGGCTCCAAACCTAAATTACAACGCTCCCAATCATTGATAGGTGCTTGACCGCCGTTCGGACAGAGCAAGACGTAATCTTCGCATTTGCCAGCGTCGTCCTTCTCGTTATCTAAAATGTACATGTTAGTTAGAATTGGTTCTCGTTCTGTAAGTTTGTTTGAAAAATGATGTTCCGCTAAAAGAGGATCAAGTTAACAGGACATCTGAAAAAATGGTATCATAATAACAATAGTAGAGGAATTTGTTACTAATTTGTTACTAATTTGTTGCTCTCGAAATATATGTATAAATACATACGTACATAATTTAAATATACAATTTAACAAAATTATATTTACCGAGCTGCCGCAAAGCTGTCAAAGACAGGAACGCAACGTCTCCTTTGCCATCCTTCAAACATCTAAAAGAAGATGCACAAGTGAAACTCTCTTCGAAAGTAATAAAACCCCGTAAGAGCGTACCATTTTTATTATCGAATTGAGAAGACTTTGTATAATTAATTTTTATGTTTTATTAAAGTGAAAAATCCCCTTTTTATTTGTTTATACAAATTAGACGAAGTTGTACGAAAAGTTATATGAAACGACCGCGAGATTTTACCTGAGTGCTCCTTTGCCGCCGTTGTAATATTCAGCATTCGTAGGTTTACATTTTGTCGCCGTTTTCGCCTGATCGTCGTCGACCTTAATATTGCCGACACACAGTTCGCAGGACTTTGAGTTGATGGGCGCGCCAGGTGCACAAGACTTAGAAAAGAAGGTGTCCATCTCGCTAGACTCGTTAATAAGCCCGTTATGCTTGAGTGCGCACATCGGTGCGTAGTGACCAGCGAAGTCGCCGACGTAGCCGCTGTGGCAAGACGACTTGCCTCTGAGATCAGCTGTGAACGTGAGAACATTGACGGTTACATCCGACAGAAGTTTGCACAGGCTCCTTCAGATTTGTATAAAGCTACTTTTCCTGCAAACTTCCTTCAGCCATTCAAATCACATATCTTTTCCTAACATTTTGCCTTAGTGTCGATGTCTTTATTAAATTGTTATTTTTGTTAAAAGTTTCATTTCTTTTTCAGTTAATTCCCATGTCTTATCCGATATAATTTTACGGGGCTTAAAAGCTGCGGATCTCATCATTTTCGGCTACGTACCCAATCCATTTATAGAGGAGCCGCTCTTAACAACGGCGACTGCAGGTCGCTCGCTGACTTTCGTTGATCCTTCACCGTAGGTCTCGGCGACGATCGGTTTCGCGTTGTAATCATCGATCGCATGTTTTACCGATCCGCCGTCGATCACTGTGATGTCCGCTCCGTTGTCCCTGACAGCCTTCAAGCAAGCAGCCTCGTCTTTCTCCAGTATGCAATCAAATCTCGGTCTGGCGTCTCTGTATAAATTAATATGTCAAAACTGAACAAGAGCGCCTGCATTTATGATCTAAATAATTGAATTTTCATCAAGGCACAAAATCGATTTCTCACTCATTTACGTTCTCGATTCTTTAATGAAAAACATTGTTTGACTTTAGACAATAAGTGCAACTAAGGAATTAAATTCGTTTCGGAACGAATAATCAAGTTATTTGATCGAGAATCGAGATTTACGTTGCCTCGGACGTTATTATACCTGGAGAACGCGGCTCTAGCGAGGCTGCGACACTTGTTCAGCGCATCTTCACTCCAAACGCACCAGCGAGCGTCCCTCTCTGGCGCTCCGGAATTCCTCTCGATCACGTCCATGTATTTCGCGCTCATCAAGTGCTCTTCCGGCGATACTGGCGGTGCAGCGACAGCCAGAGTCTTATCGTTGAGTAGCAGGAGATCCTGCCACCAAGCTGCCTTCTCGTTTTCGCCAAGCTGACTTAGCTGCGTCAATTCCTGAAAAGCATTTCAAAGTTAGATCGCAATTTTCCAAATGCAACATAACGTATATCATTTCTCAATTATACCTTCTCTAGAATTAATGTTTAAACAATTCGTCTTGCCTTTACGATTATGACGATCAATCTTTGTATCAATGTCCAGCAAAATTAATTAACCAATTTCTCTCGGTCCAGTAGATAAAAAACTAACTACACAAGAAAAAATTACTATCTTCTGAAAGGTAAGATCGATAATAACAATCTTCTCGCAAATTGTAACGTAGCCTCCAAAAATTCTTACCTAACACGCCGTGTAATATAGGAGTGCTTTTGTTTAGACGGACTTAGTCTTATTCCGTATAACATTCGATTAGTCATTAAAAACATGTATAAATAGACTCTTAGGAAACAAGTCACGCACTCTTTGGATAGCTTCCGCATTGTTGGCGTCAGCCCCGTTGGTCATGTATCCCTGCCACGGTCGGGCGGCCCACGTGCACGGTTTCGTGTCCGCGTCAATAGGCACTTTGCTGCCGTCCGGGCAGAAGTAACGGAAGTCAGCTGGGTTTTCGGACGTCGGCACCGCCGGAGTGACTCCGACGGGCAGACCGAAGAAACGCTTCACGTAGATGACCTTCGTCCAGGCGACGTCGCCGCCGTTGTGCGCCAGACAGCGTAGAGCTCCCTCGTATCCAGAGTATATGTCTGGATAATCGCAGACATTTGGTTTCTCGCAGAGAGCACACATGTTGCTGTACGTTTCCTCTGAAAGCAAACGAGAGTAATAATTTGTAGGAGCGACTCGTGGAGCATCTAAAAAATGAATTAACTAAATGTCTCTGTAGGCAATTTTCTTCAAGTAGAATTTGTACTTGTAATATGATCCAATTTTCTGAACGTAAATTTGACAAAAGTAGAGACAGATAACGATTAAAAATTGATGTGTTACTGCGCGTGCTGTTAATACGCGCGCCTTAATTATTTTGCCACTCGCGAAAGAGAAAAGTCAACCCGAAGATATGTGAGTCCGTTTACGCAACGCAATTATACTTTCTACTTAACGTAACTCCTTCATTTGCATCGCAGCATTTGCCGAGCTCACTTTAAGGCAATTGTAATTTACCTTTACACATAAATACAATGTAACACAGAAAATTAGCACTTCGTGCCTCGAAAGAAGGAAGCTGATTTAAGTGCGCGTTATTTCGTAGCCGATGATGTTGTTTGCCGCGGGCGGTGTCACCTACATGGCACAATCGCCGCAAATTTCGAAGATTACCGCCACTTACTGAGCCTCTGATTGATGGCAGGATCGGGTGACCATCTGCCCACCAGGCAGCCTTTGTCGAAGAGCGTGCTTAGAGCACGAAGTTCATTCTCGCGAGCGGAATATTCCGGGTTGTTGATGTCGGTTAACACGCCCATCGCGGTGAGCTTCGTGATGGGAATTTTGTAGCCGACATTACGGCCCACGCCAGTGTGGCAGGACTTAAGGCCCTTTAGACCCTGAACGTTGCTGATGTCGAGATCCTTGTGGATCACGGCTACTGCCTCGTAACGATATGTCGCGTCGGGTTCCTCTTTTGTTCTCACCTGATAGACAGAAAATGCATATTACACGAAAATCTATTGTATAATAGTAAATACTAGTCTGACTTAACATCTTATTCTTAGGAGATCGCAAATTATCTGCAAGAGATTGTAAATCTCTGATGATATTTAAGTCCAAATATGTATATAATATTTTTACAATCCATTCAAATCACGTACTCATCTCTCGAATATTCTCTCTAGTTGTATACTATAATTGCTTTTTATTTTTCAAATAATGTTTATCGGTAGAAGGAATGGGATTAAATATTTTTTGAGCTTTTTGCACTCAAAAGCTTTAATCCCTTCATGTGTCTACATTTTCTTTTTCGGGTCTATTTTAAGTTCGCTTTTTTTTAAATTATGACAGATTCGTGATTAAAGATCCGTTTCTTATATTAAATTAATTTAATTTAATTTAATTTTAAAATTTCACAATATTGCTTAATATATCACCTGTTCGATGATGCTGTATCCGGCCTTTTCAGCCAACTTATTCTTCGCCGCGAGGTACATGTCCTCCGGATCCACAGCAACGATGTCTGCTTCCTTCTTGCCGACTCTCTCAACGCAGTCATATCGGTCGCGTCCAGAAATGCAGGTTATCGGGAAACCTTTGCTTGCCGAATCTTCTATCATCTTCGCGCATTCCTTCGCGTATTTCTCCGGGATGCACATCGTGACTGAACAAAATAGGTGTGTCAATCTCATGAAAAATAGGACTGAAGACTCAACATATTCTCTCATATTTTATTTATGTATTTTCGAGTGTATTTATATTTGAAACTTCCAGCTTAAACTCGTACGGTTAAATTTTATGAGATTGTGAGAGTTAACAAGTATACGACAGTCTATATCTCTATTAATTATGATGAAAATAATTTTATTCGCCACGATTAAACGCGAAGGTACGGGATGTTCGAAGATCGCACTCGGTCTTCAAATTCACAAATAAAATCGGAGAAGACGGGCAGTTTTGAAATTCTTACTTGTCGCCAGATAATCGACCGTAATATTTTCGACATATTTTTGCAGATCGGTCAATTTTTATCGAATACTTACACACTCGTGGTGGACTCGTGGCGGACACAGCCGCCACTGCGAAAATCGCAAGCACCGCGAATCTGTGCAGCATCTTGGTTAACGGCACCTGATTTTCCCCCAATGGATTGGCGCGATCGAGTGTCGATCGGGAAGATGAGGCGGAGAGTCCAGGTGAGGCCGCAGACAGTCGGCGACGACTTGTCAACACCGTCCGGAGCGGCGGTCTTCGTACGTCCTTATATAGATGCGTCTTTTTCTTCCTTGTATTTCAGCACGGAAAAGAAGTAGGGGGAAGGAGAGTTTCGCTCTTTTTCCTCCTCTCTTCCTCCCGATCGCTTAGCGATCCCCGCCGTCGCTCTTTCTCCATTCGTTTCGCGTAATGACGCCATCGTCGTTCATTATCTATTCGATTCCTCGCCTCTCCCGCGACGATGGCACTTTCCAGCTTCGTCGCTCGTCGCCTTTCGGGGAAAGACAGGTTTTCGTCTCGGCTTCTTCGTGTTGTGGAAATTATTATCGAGCGCGAATGTACGCGAATAAAATCACAGAAGTGATTTTCCTATAAGGTCTGGAAAGTGATCTATATATTTCGAGCTCGGATGACGTTGTCGACATACGAAAATGGTCTTTATGCCAATTTATTGTATCGCTCGATGCGAAATTTCCTTTTTCTCTCTCTCTAGAGTACAAAAATATATAAATTATCTGATAAATTAATAAAGTTCATAAGGGTCTCATGTGATAAACACAAATTCGAAGGAATAAGAACTAAAGAGCCGTGATAAAATATTAGTGTCTAAATAATTCTTATTTTAAATTTATTTAGACACTAACATTTAGTCCTTTCTTTATAAATTCCTTTGAATTTATAAATCATCAATTTTTCAATTCTAGTTTCAATTTGAACTTAATTTTCTATTGCTTAACTTAATTTTATTATATAATTATAGCAAATAATAAAGACAGGATTCAACTCGGAAGTCAGTTATAATCAACCGATCTAACATTCGAAACTCAGACGTCGAGAAAAAGATGTCACAGCATTTAATTAACTTGTAACGGAGGAAAAATCTCATTCCGGTTTTACGAACGGGGAGATTGTTTTGTAAAAGATATACAAGAGCTAGATATCGTTCGGGCTTGGATTGGCCGCCGGTCGTTAACTTAATTCTCGGTAACTTTCCAGGATGGGTACCTCGCCCATCGTCGACGGGCGTCGTGGATGGAAAACCTTGAAGCGATTTTTCTCTATCGGTCTGGTCCTTGTTTGCCTCCTCTCGCCTCAAGTTTAATCCGCGTCCTCGGCTTTGTTCGGTAAATTCGCATCCTTCCTTTTGGTCGCTCTTCGAAGATGCGACGCACGCACGTTGTCATATTAACGCACATCGCGAAGTTAAAATCGTGGACCTTCGTTGACACGAGAAAAGTACCGCACGGTAATTCCCCCGTTATCGTCGCACGACAATGATCCCGCGGTTCTCTCTCTCTCTCTCTCTCCCTCTTTTTCTCTTTTTCTGTCAAGATCGCAAACCGAATAAATAGCCCATGTAATGTTTGTGCTTATGTTTTGTCGTTACGACACTTGATAAGTGTGTAATCTCTGAACCACGAGCTATAAATAATGTCAAAATGTCACGGTACCGCGATATACATATATAGTTGCGCGTAAAGAATAATCTGTTAAATAAGTTTATTTGTACGAAAGTGTTAATTGGTTGCTTGCAATGGCATTATATAGACTTCATAAATAGACTTGGTTGAAATAATAATTGATAATAATTCAGAGATAACGATTGTCCGAGATAAAAACATTGTGAAGTCTTAATTTAATTAATTCTAGGCTGAATTCTTATCTCTTTTTGAAATTCTCATTTTCAGAATTTTAGAATTGTGCGAATATTTAATACTATTAACATTCGCAAAGTATATTAGAAACCGATTGATAGAACTGATTTCCTAATTAACGGAATATTAATACACGGAGAGAATTTTCTCTTAAAGTTTATCCTGAAACTTATGTAATCGTGGGACAACGTGGCAGTTCCAAGATTTTTATGAGGGTTTTTGGAAATTTTACCATACATTTCAAAGTAATTATACTCACAATCAGTACACATTGTACTGGTAAAGTGTATGGTAACATTTTCAAAAACTCTCGTAAAGTTGTTCAAAATGCCATGTTGGCCTACGATCACATGATTTTCGGGGTAAATTTTAAAAGGAAATTCTCCTCATTGACAAGAGAATTTTTCATAAACTTTTGGTGTTAAACTCTATTTTCTTCGATAATACAACTAAGGCAACGCTATATGTTACATAGATAGCGTGTAATTTTCATACCTGCCTGACACAACAGTTTATTGCAGCAGTGTTGTTTTCACAAGAGAACGATAAGTTAGAATAATTGCAACGTAATGTTTATAGTACACATACCTGCCTATCAGCTTTTCAAGAGGATCGGCATAGGGGCAGAGCTGAGGTTTTGTTTCTTGTTGATAGATTTTTATCAGTCGATCGTTATACAACTCACGGAAGCACGAGCGTTGACGTTGAGATATATACGCGTGCCTGATTGATGATCCGCATGTAATACCATGATTCACTACCTGTAGATCTTAACATGTACCGAGGTATCGGAATATCCCTCGTGTCGGACGATGAACCGTTAGAAGAAAAACCGGATTGTCGCAAATAACGGACGGTAATTCATGAAGACTCTTTCACCCTGACAGCTGGAAATCCCAGTGTTATAATATCGTAATATGTAATCGTGGTATTATCGCATGCTATCAGGATTGCTGGTGCAGCAAGACTTCTTTCGAAAAGAATCGGACATGAAAAGTAAAAATAATGTCGACACGAATAAGTTTCATAAAATTTAAATATTGGTAAAAATAATTCATTTGTATATAAAATGCATACGTTTAAAAAATTTATACTTGCGAGGATAGAAATAGAAAATACAATTTCTGTGTGTTGCAGTTAAAAGTGTTGTTAAGAATTTTAATTATTTATGGAGGAAAATTTTAGATGGAACGAGAGAGAGAGAGAGAGAGAGAGAGAGAGAGAGAGAGAGAGAGAGAGAGAGAGAGAGAGAGAGATCTTGATATCGGGAAGATTGTTCTATCGATTATATCGTTTTCAATTAATTATGGCAGTTTAATGCTCCTCTGCGATTTTCAAATAAAGTTTGGTATTTTTAAATTTAGCGTTTACCTTCTTCCACTTTTACTAAGAAATATCGAGACGCAGCAATATGACTTTCCTCATTCGTTTCTTGGAATCAATATTTTTCCTTTATTGCATGCATATATATGACTTTTCGCGAGATCGAGATCGAAATAATAAGTATCGATGACAAACGTAATATGAAACTATCGCCATGTATTACCATACATATTACACGTGAATCTACATAAATCTGCAATTCAGCGGTCCAGCTTATTAAGGACGCACCCGATATACTCAGCACCCGGTATACCCTGTGTTTATGCACTTCCCCACGAATGCATAAATAAAACAATTTTATTATTCAGCAGAAAAAAAGGTAGTTTTCATAAATTATTGTCGAGAAACTGCAGTCGACGTTGCCGCTGACGGTCTCGGCGCTCGCGCGGGATCTTTTTCCTCGACACACGAGTCTTATGCGGTTTTAAACTGCAAGGTCGGATACGTTCGCAACTTCAAGACCTCGAGGTGAGCGTGCAAGATTAGCAGCTGCTCATAATTGTCCTCTGCTTTCATAACGAGCCTGGTACGCCTCGCGATTGCCGCGAGTCTCATCCTTCGAGACTCCTCATCCCTCTTGCGATGCGGGTCATCAAGCAATCTGCGACGACGGTCGTCGACATCTGACGACTTCATCTTGATCTCTTGTGACACCTTGCCGTTCTTCTTCTTCCACTTGGCCATCAGTCGCTTCGCTTCTCTCAGTCGCGTCTGTTCCAGTTCCAACAATTTGTAAAATTTCTGGAAACAGAGACTTTAAATTGTTCAGATCGCCTATGGGCAGTTCGAACGACGATAAATCGACTAACTCACGTTACGAAATACTCGCAAGTTGGCTTGCATCTTTTCGTAATCTCTTTCTAAATTTACGCTGCAGGGATAACTGCTCAAAAATTCCAGCACGTTTCTCGTGATCTAAAATGCGGAAAGAACAATGTACTTTGGCGTAAGTAATTGTGTCGTGACATAGAAAAACATTTGGCACAATAATATAATAATAATAATAATAATAAAAAGATTTTGTAAGGAGAGAACCGCTCTCTTGCCAATCTTTATACCTTGAACTCTCGGATATCTTTTAAATCCCGCTGCAGATCCTCCAATAGCATTTTCGCGCAAGCATGTTGCCATTCGTGTTGCGACACAACCTTCCGCAAGTGCATGGATTTATGCATCGCTGCCAGCTTGCGTTTCCCGGTTTCGACGATACAGTCGTTGACCCGTAAAAGCTCCTCTCGTGTCACGAGAACGGCGTTCGCGTAGTCTGAGGGACAACCTCGCAGTGGCACCTCAATTTGGCCCATTTTCAAGACGAGTTGTACCTCCATTTCCTGCGCTAGCTGCATCAAGGATCTCTCCATGTCATCCAAGCTGACCTTCTTGCACACCACGGCGTTATCAGCCGACTGCATCGCCTTCTGATAAAACGACAGCGTCTCTTCCGCCTCAGCTATTTCCACCGCGCAGCATTTCACCTTCGACATTACGCTCTTTTTGGTAATGCTACAATTTCTCCCCCTTTTTCGCAGTCAGCTTAAAACGTTATTAATGAAAAAGAAAGTGGTGCACTTTTATTTTGTCGCTCAAAACTCGAATGTAAGTGTTAGTCGGCCGGCAATTGAAATTAATATTTCTTAAGTCTCATATTTTCAGATAAATAATCTTTACTTAAATTCTCTAATTACTGTTTTTGTACAGTTCGATAATATAATTGCTATATTTAAAAGTATAATCACATTACGGAATTGTACATTTTAATAAATCGGTTACCTCGTGCGCTTTTCTCCTCACCTTTATTTCCGTCTCGATCTTCGTTCTCCTTAATCTGCACATTGTCTGCCAATAACTGGTATTAATTTGCGACGGTAAATTTCGGGGCTTCGAGTCCAGGGCGTCCATGCCTTTGAGGAAGTCCAGGCATTCGCGCGGTAAGACGTCCGACTTCTCGTTGCCCGCGACGCAACTCGCCACCTCCGTCAAATACGTGACGGACGTGGTGGTCAGCCGACCGGCCCTGGGCCGCTTCTTGTAGTGCCTGAGCAAGTGTTCCACTACCGACTGCTTCAACTCCGCGAATTCGCCGCGGAACTTGGCCTCCTGGCGTTTCTCCGCCTTGCAGAGGCTGTCGTATCGGATTTTCAGCTCCGATACGACCACCTCCAACGAGTTGCACTCCTCGGCGAGCCCGTGTGCCCCTCGCGTCGCCAGTGCCAGCTCGTCGGCGAGACGAGCGATTTCTTGCCTGCCATCGACCATGATCCGATGCCTTCGGATCGCTCGTATTCTTGCCAGTCTCTCCTGAAGAATCGCGCATTCAATTTGCATCTTTCTCAATTCTAGATCTTTTAACTTGTCGTTGAAAGCGGCGTTGTCTCTTTCCAAGGCGTCTGAAACATGCATTTTACGTGTCTCAGCGATTCGCAGATTATTTTAAGACGATTCTATTTTAATGAACGCGACTTTATTTCTCTCTTTAAATGTCGCCACTGACCTTTCGTTTCTATAATATCAGCCTGCAATGTCGCTTTATACTTTTCTCTTTCCCTTTGCAGCGCTTCCACTTTAGACCTGTACAACGTAATAGCTGCGATATCCTCGTCGGTGTACTTTGAAGGATTCTTTGCAATTAGGCAGTCGGGCACAGGTATTTCCTTCTTCACTTCATCTTCCCATCTTGAAACAGACCATTCTTTCACGTATTAAAGTTTTGTTAGAAAACACACCTATCTGTATCAATTTTTATGCAATTATTTTACATGTATGATCGACTCACGTAGGTTCCAATACACCGTCCATCATTTTCTCAAGAGCTACTTTGTAAAAATCACCGGCTTTTGCATGTTTATTTTCATCTTCTCGATCCTCGTCAATTACATTCAATTCCCCTTGCCGTGGCTGTCTTTCAAATATTTCGTGATCTTTTACGGTAACTATGTAGTCAGGTATTTCTTCGACATTCCAGGACGGGGTCTCGATTGGCTCCAAAACGGAGTCTATACCGAACATCATCTTCAATTGAGACGCGCAATATCGAAGTCTGCTGATGCGCTCCTCTGCACATTTTAATACACATTCCTTCGCACGTTTCATTTCCTCAAAGAGATCATTGAAATGCATCTATTCGAGAGAACAAAAGTTTGATTAAAATTTTTTTAAACTGACATACATGTATTGACAAACCGCTGAAAAGTAATTTTAACATTATATAAGTTTCCAAAGTATCACTCGAGTATAATTATACTTGCAATATTGCACAATATAATTATATACTGTCAAATAGATTTATGCCGCCACCTTTAATTTACGCTCTCGATTTTCGATGATAATATCCTTGCGCAGGATAGCTTCGAGATCGCTGTCATGCGGAATCAATAGCTGATGCGTTGAAGCTATACTTTCGTCCTCAATCCATTTATGGGTCGTGACACCCGATACACATAATTTTTCCTCTTCGTCGGCAAGCGTGCACCATTTTTTAGCCATTCGATACGTTTTGCTTCCGACGTTGCTAGCCGTTGAAGATTCCTTGTCGGGAATTACCGTAAATCCCTGTCTTGAATCGTCTTTACCTAGTGATCCGTCATACACCTCGTAACTAGAAAGAATGTTATTTTTAATAATATTTTATACTTGAAAAATTATAACATATAAATTCCCAATTACATTTTATACTATTATAAAGAGGAAACAGAAATTATTTATTACTAGTGTGTCATGTGATTATCAGAATACAATGAATAATTAATATAAAACAAGATGATGGACGAAGATAATTACCTGTACAAAAATTCGTCAGCGTCCGAAGAAAGTTTATCCCATACTTTAAAGTCGTCCATCTTTCGAGTCGATGCGACAAGGGGATGATTTCGAACGATTGCATCGCCACCAATTGTTGTAAGAGCGCATGGTTTAACTTCCAACAGTTCCCAGAATATTTCACGCAGACTCTCCGCCACCTGATCCCGTTGAGCGCAATCCTCTTCGAGGTTTCGATACAATGTGTCTCGTTCAAGTCTAGCCTCCTCTATTCTTCGCTGTCGGTACTCGTGATTCAAATCGAAAGCCGAGATCGGCAAACGGGCGTCCGGTGTTTTGCCTTCATTTATATCGAGCAGCTCGCGTATCTGCAAAACTTATATTATATTTTAATTCTTAATCAGAATCGGATCTAATAAAAGAGACACTACTTGCGTTTTAATCTTCTCAAGATCGGCTACGATACCAGCCCGTCGAGGTAGAGCCTCGTCGCGCTCGGCTTTCAGTTTAGCAGCGATTACACTATCCAGCCAGGTTTCCTTTTCTCGATCGTACCGCTCGTTTGGATCAGTAGTGAAATCCTCGATCGCTAAATGCACACTCGCAGTTTCGATTTCTGCTAAATTTGCTTTTGCCTCCGGTAGGCTGTCCGTACGATTAAATTAATTTAGATTTGTTTCCGTGATTCTTTAAATGATTTGAATTATGCGGAAGATAAAATACCGAATTCGATTGGCGACGAGATCACCATTTCTACCGAGAGAAACGATCGTTTCCCCGAAACGCGAAGTAATCGCGCGTGTTACACCTCCCTGACTGCGATGGTGCGGCATAAAAATAGCGATCACTTTGCCAAGTGCCGTGCTATCTCTGACTATGATCAAGCCATCGTATCCATATGTTATGACTCGAGCATCGGTTACGTACATCCCGATGTTCCTCAACTGATGCATGGAGAACAGTGCGTCCGTGAGGACAATATCCTGAAAATTATTCTGCGAAAAAGATTTGATTAAATTTATTTTTTGAATTCAAACGAAGAAACAGATATTGAGGTGAAGATTACACGATTTTCGAAAACCTTGCACACATGCAGAGTGAAAAATATAATTGTCTAAATTGTGCAATATAGAAATGTTAGTTAATTTTACATGGTTTATTCTTATAAAGTAATGATGTAGGCGGCGTTCCGATATTCACTGCCAGTACTGAAAATCTGTAGTTTACGTCACGTACACTATACATTTTCAGTACTGAGATTAAAAATCGGAACGCAGCAGTAGTTTGACATACCTGTATTTCCATTTGATGCAATTGTTTAGACAAAGCGGGTACACCTAACATGCTCAGTGGCTTACATCCGCTATAGAGCGTCTTGAAAGGTCTTGATAAGTCTATCACGCACACGGCACGCGTGCAGAAATCGATCGAAATCTCGCAAGTGTACACGATCACTTTGTTGCCGCCGATCGAAGCTATAGAAGGATCAGTCGCTGCTAGAACTAAGATCTCAAAACGATCTTCTTTACCTTCGTATATAAAGAAATCAGCGATCTACAAGAAAAACATTAAATTATTCTCAATTCTGTTTTTCTACGAAGATACCTTTTTGTATGATTTATTATGTAACAAATGATGTCTCAGAAAATAAGATTTTATATAATTCTGCAATATATAATCTTACAAATCCAGCAATTTCTATAGAGCCTAGAACATCCACGCGCTGCTGTTTAAGTCGTTTGCCAACAAGAAATATCATGCCAGTTTGAGAATTACCAATTCCCAAAAGTTCACCGTGACATGAGAATTTGATTTTATCCACATAATTTCCATAAAGATGAAAGCAGTTCAAAATTTTAAGCAATGAAGTTTTCGTCACATCGATAAGAATGCAATTGCCAGCAGCGCTGCAGGATGCAAGTATTGGTAAAGTAGGATGTGTATCTCCCTGAAGAACTATAACGATAGAGTGACTGTAATTAATCATATGTAATCAATTCTTACAAAAGATGTAAAAGAATATGTTATTTTATCAAATATATTAGGTCCGCATATTAATTAAAAAGGCGCACAACATGCCTCAAATTAAAAATTAATGTTTGTTTATATTTGCCCCTTTATATTTTATCTTACCTTCACCGTGGTGCTTCAGGGATAATCTCGCGGTCAGTGTACCGGTCGATAATTCGAAAATGCAAAGACGATCTAACCGGTCTACCGCTGCGACGTGATCTGTGCACTGAGATATAGAAAATAGTGCTTTGTATTCAATTTCGTCCGTATAAATAACTTCTATCTGAGGAACGTTGTCGTGTCGCGTACAGATCTCAAAAATTTCTCCGCTCTTGGAGTGAAGCATAATCCCATCTTTGGAACAGTGTTGTCTTCCAACTTGTATAGAATAGAAAGTCGAAACCGACCACATCAATTTCCACGTCACGTTCCAATCCGCTGCCGATTTTTTGTAAAACTGAAACATTGTTAATTGCGATATATTAGAAAGTAGAAGTGAGATTATGGTAATATAATTATTATATATATTGATTTATTTTGATTTATATTAAAGATTCATCAATACGCACCGTAATTTCACTATTGGTATTCACGACTATTACGCCATTTTTATGACTGACGACAATCGGTTTATTTTTTGGACGATCGAGTATTTTCGATTTTATCACCGAGTACAACTTGTTAGCTTCAATCGCCACGAGCCATACATTCCCCAATTCGTCCGAGACAAATAGATTTCCCTCCTGCGTCCAGGATGAAGACACAATTTTGTGTCCCGGAACAGGCGCGTTCACGCGATGTATACTTACAATTTTCGAGCACGTGCGCACTTGATAGACCGAGAGTGTATTATCGTCAGCTCCGAATTGCGCTATCAAATGTGGAGGATTCGGCGAACAGCTGGCAAGATTAAATAGTTTATTACATTTTTTTAATTTTGGAAAAATTAAAGAAACAAACTCTTGTGGCGTTGTTACGTAAAAAAACAACATTTCATTTATCATAGGGTTCGGTATATTACATTACATTAATAATCATGAAAAATTATCATAGAAATGTGCAGAATACTCACAAAATTTCCTGAACAAGGTTGTCTATCTTTGTGTTAAGCATGGCGACGTGTTTGCCGGTTCTCCAGAGCCACACGATTAGTCGAAAATCGGGGAAGCTAGTTAGACTTACGAGATACTCCATGCCAACAAAAGAGCAAGATAAATAGCCATTGATTCTGTCCGGCAGGACGCACCTGGAGATCCTTTGTATTGTCGGATACATGAATATTGATATTTTAGGATTAGGCTTTCTCTCGACTACGGAAAACATGGAAACTGTCTGGCAAAAAAGTATTGCTCTTATTAAAAATAAATAGCGTATGACACTTGTCACTTTTTAGACACTCGGTAATCTACATTTGAGATATTAATGATATTATAAGTAATTACGTGTATTATACGTACCGGATGTCCAGCTAAACACGACGCACCGTCGCCCCTTTCTTTGTTGTCGAACCGCTCGATCCGTCTCTCTCTCGTATTCAGATCCAGGAAGCTCACGTAAATGCCGGAAGCCGTTGCGACTGTTTCCTTCCCAACAAAGGCGAAGTCGTGAAATTTTCCAAACTTCATCCACCTGCGTCACAATGCAAATTATATTAAAAAAATACTCTTTACTCGTCAAGCTTGAGAGGACAAAACGTACCTTGTTTCGGTTGTCGAAAAATTCATTTTGCTGTATTTTCTAATCTGCAGGATATAGGAAAAATTTGTATCGTTTTTTGCATTGTTCCCAAGTTCCCAATTCTACTTTTGCTTGGCAAGTAAATCTTGCACGTATAAGCGTCGTGTTTGGTTGCTGAGAAACCCAGATAGGCTAGTATATTGATCGGGGTTGGCCATAGAGACAATCCCTTCAAACGTGTTCGTAATAATCCAGATCTTTAGCTACATATTTATATAACTAAAATAAACAATATATTCTTTCCGAAACTAAGTTGTTTGTTTTGACAATAGTTACAGAATTACAGAAATTAATTTTCTGTTGGAAAAATTTATATTCAGAAGTTTTCATTTAGCAAGCGGAAAGAACTTTCACATTATTTATCAATTAAAAATACTTAATAGAAATAGTTTTAGACTAGAGAACGGTACGGTATAAAAGAATGTTTTTTTCCTTGTTTTTGCACGTGTTTTGATTGCCAAAGTGTGTAAGAATGTAAGTACCTGATTGTCAAGACTTTCATCGGACACGACATTTACATACCTCTCCGGAAGATAATAGAATCGCCAAAAGAATGCCACTAAAAGTGTGTCACTGGATCAAAGTGTTGTGGGAGGTTCGAAGGATAGTGACACCGTTATAGACTGTATCGTCCAGCACATAATAATGGCCCATGCCTCTTTGACCCCTCCTATTATTATATTTTAAAGCTTTTAACCATTTGTGAGAAATATCAGAAAATAATTTGTAGTGAATACCAAAGAAACGTTTTAGATCATACTTTCATGAATCATATCGGGGATGCTCGTTAAAAACAATTTCAACGATTTCACATTCTCCTCTTTTTCTACAAAACCTCTTGGAGAAAGAAAGATTCATAAAGACAGATCTTTGAATTTATTTTACTGTTAATAATAACGCCAGAACTTTATCGTAGCAGCAAAATATGCATATAAAATCAGCATTAAGAATAGTATTAAGAAAGGCTGAATACAATAGTAAAAACATAAGAGAAATCATTTGTTATATTTATATTGCAATATGAATAACTAGACTATATCTTCTTGAATACGGAGATACTGAAATTTGACATGTCGCACAGTAGACGGTAGCGATCGATGATTGTGTTGGAAGTGTCAAAGGGGCACGGCGGAATAGTAACCCAATAACGTGAATCTCGTGCCCCTTCCGCATGCGAACAGCATATATAGACGAAGCAAACACGATAATTTTTTATTCACAAGCGTTGATCGACGTGAGTGCCAGCAAGAATGTTTCGTGAGCTCGTCATTTGTTAGAACAGTTCTATAGGGGTTTTGTGTTTGATATAAGGGTAGATGACTCGCAAGTGGACTGATTTACGGAGAAGAAGCAGAATCCAGAAATCCTAGGGAGCAAAACTGAGGAGCTAAAAGTTCACGTTGAAAGTGGAACGTTATTTTTAAGTGGAAATAGTCAGCGTATGTACATTTATCATTTGTAATTCTTTGACTTTTTGGCAGATGTCATTAACACATTTTAGTATAAAATAGTTGATACGCGCTTTATGTAATTAATAAATAAATGTAAAAAATAGAATTTTAGGTACACATGATATAATTAAAATTATTTTTATAAAAAGCTTGATATAAAAATTTTTTACTACTTCTAAAAATTAATTAACTTATCTATTTTAGATACCAATCTAGCTTTGCCAGTAATTACTTTTATTGATTGCAATAATATTCTTGTGCAATTATGAACTTAAAATTTGCTATTTTATAAAAATTTGACTTTAAGCTTATTTTATAAATGGAAACGCTAATCAATTTAGATAGCCATACAAATAATAGTACAATTACGCCTAATTATATAACGAAAGTCCGTTATAAAATGCAGCTATTCCATTATTTTTCACGTTTGTATCCATGAATTAAGGTCGTTGTTGACTATGTTAAAAAGGGGCGGAGACCGCTATACGTTTAGTATGCGCGACATTTGCTTGCATTTCGTATTCAAGAGGAATCTTCTGCGTTCATCTAGAAGGCGTTTCGTGTCGCGCTGCTTGTTTGTACTACTTGTGCCCATCTCTTCTTTTTCTAATTAAAATCTATTCGAAGAATTGCGTTTACAATCGCTCTAACATGTCTACCTACCTCCTCACTGTGTTATCTATTTAAATAGAGTCTAGAATATGAAGGGCTGGTAATTACAAAATTCTAATTATGAAATTCTCTCTGTAATATTTTACACCCTATTAAAGTCTAATTTGCGCATAAAAGCAACGAGAATTTTATTATTGCTAAAGTTTTGCTAAAACTATCAAAACGCATTCAGTCGCCGTTGAGATCAGACACGTTTCATTGCTGTTGCTGAGAGCAGCGGCTATAAAAATGCCATTAAAGATTGCATTTTATAAGTCATGGAAGTTTACTTGTGATATGTTTTCTTATTACAGATAATTATATTTCTCCAACGACAACTTATTATCAAAATGTCTCATTACCAAGCACGGGAGCAACGATTCGGTTGGGTTCTACGAATCTTTTTGCTCTGTTTCGCCTTGGTCTCATCCCACGAACCTGTGTCCTCAAATTATCAGAATACACCAGGTGCCTCGACTCTGAAAATAGAGGCGAAAGAATCCGAGGCGTCGATAACTCTGGGGAAGGATCTAGTCCTCGGTCCCCCTTTGTCGACCAAGGCATCGATTGTCGCCGACTCCAACGACGTCGCTTCTACAAAAGTTCCCCACGTGTCTCCCACAATCATCAGTCGAGTGTTTTCCGGAGAGCATGCCGTCTCCCAAAGACCCGTCTCGAAGGATGCGGATCCCCGCAGCTCTTACGTCGACAGCCTCAAGTCTTGGGCCGGTAAGAACCCGAAAACCTCTTGGAAGAGGGACAGCTATCTCCAGGCACTGATGCACTCGCGTAACAGCGACGATCCGCGAGAGGGAATCGTGCAGACGGACCTGAAGACAAAGACAAATAGGAGAGAGTACGCGCTGGGGCCCATTTACAAGCCTGAAATCGAGTACGGTCCGCCTGATTCGACATACGCGTCGAAGAGCCCGCGAATCACCTACGGCGGGCCCAACGCTCCTTCGCCCAGTGATTCCCCTCGACCCTCCAGGCCGTCGGACTACAACGATCGTTACGGCACACCGCAGAATCCTTACGGTCCGCCGCAGAATTCGTACGGACCACCGAATGACGGTGCCTCATTTTATCCTCAGACTTCTTCGTATGGGCCACCCGGAAACTATCTACCGCCCCAACAAGGTGAGGAGGAAAGTCTCATCTGCTATCAAAGTTAAATTATTTGATCTATTTAAATGTGTTCTACTATTACGATAAATTTAGTATTTACAATACAATTGCGTAAAAGATTTCTATTACAGTAAAGGGTCAAAAGTTTAATTCCATTTTTCATGTGTAATTTTTATTACTAATTAACTTTTATTTATTGCGTTAAAATAAGAATGTATTAAATTCTTCTAAAATTTACAAAGGTTTATATTACACTCTTGAAATAATTTATCGGATTTTGTAGCCGTATTATTCGATTAATCCGTCTTTAGTTAATTGACATTTCGTTGGCAAAAAGTTTTCCTCTTAGATTACACTTCATATTTTTAGCGTCATTTTGATCACTTGGCTTATTATCTCACGCTTTATCTTCGCAGGGTATGGCCCTTCCATACATTCTTCCGTTCCAACTCCGGTTTACGGTGCGCCCTACGCGCTTTCGGAAGTGGCTCACGTTTCCCTGTTGCCGAGTATCGACTTAGGACTGCCGCTCGCTCTCAAACTAAACGCATTCACCATCGCGAAAATCATACTGAAGTTGGTGATCTTCAAGATGATCGTGAAATTTATCGCGGTAATCTGCTTGCTGCTCTTCATACCGAAACTCGAGATTATCAAGAAGAAGGTCTCTAATAATGACGACAACGACGACGACGAAGAACGAAATTTCTCATCCCGTAAGTTTTCAGATTGAATCCACGAATTTCCAACTTTAATTCACCTACAACAGTTTTGTGATAGATTCGGTGGGAGGTTTTTTTTAGAAAAACGGAAACGTTGCTGAGGAAGATTATTTTCCTAACTTATACTTTGCTAATTGTGCTCCATATATTTTCAGCCTATGCCAGCTTGGGAACTTTAAACGGCCTCGAAGATATAGTAAAGAGTTCCGTTGAGAAGTACGAGGCGGAAAATAGTGCTCGTTTGAATTCAACGGAGAAATGCACGACACTTGCGTGTCGCATCACCGACGCATTTACATTCCACGAATCTTGGCATAACTACTTAAATTTATTCAAGAGTTACGTAGAGGAAGAGAGGCAGCTCACGAAACGGCGAGGGCAGTGAGAGAAATTTACATTATCATCGAGCTTCATCGTCGCGTCATTTTTCCCTAATGTTGTAATTATTTATTTATATGCTTATTCACATATTTATAAAAATTATTTCATTAACATACGAAACGCTGTATTCATTCTCTCGATTTCGACCGAAAAGATAAGCAAGTGCGGTTTAGGTAAAAAGAGTACGGCTTTTTATATGCAAAAAATTCCGCTAAAAACTGCTGTGAATGCAGAGCGCTGTCAAATCTGTCTCGCAGTCGACGTCAGTCGGAACGACGTGATTACAGAAGATTACAGGAATGATCTTTCCTTTCACAGCACTATGATACCATGATTATCCAGTGCCATTGTGTGCCAAGTAACAAAGTATGCTGGAAAATAAAACATTAGCTTAACAAATTACTTTTGTGGATACACTGACAAATATGTAGTGTTTAATATACTTGTTATTGACTTGAGGCAGCGAATTTTTTCCAAAAAGAATAAATGCACAATAAAATATAATATTATTTAATTGCAAATGTAGCATGAAAAATCGGTCATTTTAATTCGCGTGACGAATATAATATTATCTCAGCTAAACATTTAAATTATCCAGGAATTTATATAAAGCACACAACTCTCTGTTTCAAAGCTTCTAAAATTGTTTAATTATTAGCTACGTTCTAGATTCCTTTAGAGAAGTGTAAAGAGAGTGTTAAATATTGATAATCAGGTGCCACATAAAGTACGTCACATAAAGTACGAGATGTATCCTATACCCTCAATCTCTCTCAGGTGGGGATAGATTTAACCGTCACACTCGGTTTATAAACGTAGCATGATGACACGATATGCCAGTTCTCTCGTGATAACCATTCGCCATTCGTGTCCGAACCGATTTTCATCGACTTTCATCAACCGGACCGCCACCGATCATCCAGAACAATGGAGGTAGCAGTTATAGTTGGTACGGAAACTGCACCGACTTTCTACGTTTAAGATTTTATAGCGCTACGATCGATCATTTGTGCACTCAACTAACGTCTACTAATTAAACACGTTCAAATAAATGTTCAAGATTTCACTAACCGTTAATAAATTGACTTAGTCATTTGTTTGTGCATGTTCCAAGATATTAGAAGCAGATTAATATGATATAATACTAATAAAATTTTGAAATTATTTAATATAATATAAATATTATTTCATATCATTATTAGCTGATTGCATATCTTTGTAAAGGTTTTGTAAAAGCTTGGTTGCCTTCATATGTGTTTTAATAACACAAAGACGATAAGAAATTTTCAATATTCTTAGTACACGTGTACTTTTCTCGAAATCACACAAATTCAGAAACGTGAGTTCGGTCGACAATGCATCATGCAAGTGTGTTTTCAAATTCAAATAATTTCCTAGTTAAATTATTTATTTATAAAGTATCAGAATCGCGACTATTATTCGCGCGAGAGAGCATTTGTATTTTTCGAAGAAGTTCCACCGCAAAAGGAAATGTCTTTAAATGGACGTGGGCGTAAACGGCCTTGAGCGAAGAAACATCGCAATCGCCGCAAGGAGCGGACTGATCTCGATTTAAAATAAACCTTGATTTCAATAAAGCCGCAATCATTCAATAGAGACGCGTATTAAGGCCGAGTAGCATCCCAGCGAGAGGCTAAACCACCGTCAATGGATTTACGTAATATCATCCCGTCCACAATTCATTAATAGAAAGGCTTTCGAAAATTATATTGTTTAAAACTACATTTTATTTTATCATAGCGATAACCTGTTTTCTATATCAGATGATACCATCGATATCTTTTCTCTATTACAGCAAGTTTCGAAATAATTCATAAACTCATCAATTGCGATTATAATTTAATCGAAATCTGTTCTGTCGCTTTACGGAAGAAACGTTCGATTAGAGATATATGGAAAATATTGAAACAAAATCGAATTGTCTTTAATTCTATGTCCTCTTTCTTTCCTCTCTCCCTCTCTTCTTGATCTTTCCTAGCCTTCGCGTTCCTCAGCATGTTCACGTTATGCGAGGAAACGTATGCTTTCCCTGATGAGGCAAAGATCAACACCACCATGAAGGATATAAAGGAGCCTAAAGACATCAAAGAAGCGGCGACCGCGTCGAAAGATGTAAAGGACGCCATCAAGGCGGCCAAGGAAGCGAAGAAGAATAAGAAGGATTGCTCGCGAGATTGCGGGACCGATTATGATCCTGTTTGCGCTCACGATCCTGTCGACTCCAGCTTTAAGCCGAGGACCTTCGGCACGCAGTGCGCTCTGGATGTTTACAACTGCGAGCTGGGCGCGAGTAAGCACATGGAAGCACTATATCAATTACCATATTAATTATATCGATTGCATTAATTACATCAATCATCAGGTACGAGCAAGATGTTGGTAGCCCAATGATTGTAATCTAAAATGTGAACTCACATACCGTTTTCCACCTTGTCCCGCGCGCTTATCTTTTCGAACATAACACAGTTCCATTCAGATGGAATCATTGTCGTCAGCTAATTCACATATTAAAACTATCGCAATAAGAATGCGGTACAGCACGGGGACGGGGTATTGAATGCTAAATCGTTTATCGATTTTAATATGTGAATTCACTGACGGCAATGATTCCGTCTACGTAAAATGTTATGTCCGAAAAGAAACCGGCACGCAGGACAAGGTGGAAAACGGTATGTAAAAGTTCGCATTTTAGATTACAATTTTATTGGGCTACCAACATCTTGCTCGGACCTGAAGGCGCTCTCGCTTGTTTAATTTATGTCGTAATGGCCCTATTTAACTTTATCTGTGCATTAATCACGTTATGCTTCAATCCTAGAATTGGCTGTGAAGAGCAAAGGCGAGTGCCCTGGATCCGGCGGAGTAAGACTGTCCTAAACAAGAGTTCGATTCTGGAAAAGCACCATGAAACGCGAAGTAGAATAACCGTCGAATTAACCGATAGTTTATTATCATAAATTTATTTAGTTGAAGTAAATACCTTAATGTATTGTAACGCAATGATACTCTTCCTCTAACGTTGAGAGAATAGAGACGGTGGTACGCAAGAAAGTTATGTATAACTACGCGACAAAATCTGGCGATAAAATTGGCCGCTAAACTATACACTATGTATGAATATACAATGCGAAGCGCATCTAACTAATAAATATTAATGATGAGCAACTATTGATTTTGTCTCTCATAATCACTTCCTTCTCTGCGACGTAGTTGATGCCCCGTACGTAGTTTCTAATTTATGTAAGTTGTATATGTGAAGATTGAACATGTATTCTCGGTACGCGCAAATTTTAACCAGCTTTCTAATCGCATCTGCGATCTGTCCCGAAACACGTAGTTAGCAAAATGCATTCTCGACTCGGAAGTACTTGAAGGGACGATTCCGTGTCCATTTTTTCCTACTTTTTGTCATGCAGTCATGGAAGCGTAACACATTCTACACATTTAAATTTTGAAATATAACATTACGAAGGGATTGTTTATTTAAAAAATTAAAGCTAAGTAGAACTTTTAGCTATTATTCGTACTTACCATTTTGCTAGAAGAAGGGCTGTGATCTTGCAATCCCTATTTCATTTGTCCTTAAGCCATGATAATGCACGCATGTGTTGTATTGCATAATATACTTCCGCCGCTTTCTGGGAGCAGCAGCATAACGAATGGTGTCGACACACTCCAGACAGGCTATCGTTATCAATTGACAAACAAATGTTAAAGCTTCGTAACTACTCTTCTAGATGGCTAAACGTGAAAGACATATTAATCTTTAGGCGAAAAGAAGACAGAATTATTCTTTTTATTATATTCGTTCTTGCTATAATATGACCATCATTTTTATTGAATTGTTAAATTTATATTTATATAAAATAACTGCGTCAAAACTATCTCAGTAGAAATTAACCATATTTAATATTCATAATAAACGTACGATATCTTTGGAAAATAATGTTGTACCGATTAATTATTAAAAAAAAATCTTATAAATGGCTTTCGTAAATTTTATAAACGTTAGACATTGATTTATTAAGCGTGTGTACGCAGCGTGCGTGAAAGGCCATAATTTGTACGCGTGGGGCCATTGTCCGTCAATCTTCGTTGTAATAAGTTTATCTTCCAAATCAATGTCCAAGATAATGAGGATGCGACCATGTGCAACGAAGGACGTTAGTCGCGCACCGCATCTTCAGTTCAGCGTACTTTGTCCTGTCTACAATGTCCATCTAGTTCGAACCGTCCGTGACATGACCGACTTATTCTCAAAGATCTACCGTGCAATCGTCTTCCTTTCATTATGCGAGACGAGCACACACTCGCTCGTCTCGCATATCTGCACCGCGAGTACTGGGACTTCTACAGGTAATTGAACAAATTAATTATCAGAGTAGTCGAAGAGACGTGTTTTGCTGTGATTATATAGTGATAGCGAGTCTTTATTTATCACCTGAAGATTTATCATCTAAAGGTGAAGGGGAACCTTCAGATTTTATATCGTATTCTTCCTAAATGTAATTGTGATAAACATCGGTTGGACATGAAGATGATTCTGAAGACAAATTCTCAACTGTTATAGATTCTTCCAAAATTTTGGGATGTGTAGAAGTAATTGGAGGCGAAGATGACGGTGAAGGCAAATTCTCAACTTTTATAGATTCTTCTGGCATAGCTTGGTCTTCGTTAATGTTTTTCTTTTCTGAATCTGAACATTCGCTACAGAGTTTCTTGCTAAAAGAACAAATAATTTTTATGTAAAGAAGATATGTCGTGAAAGATAGATCTTCATGAAAATGGACCGAAGCAAAATTTTCGAATCTACTGCAATTTTTTCTGTAATATTATTTGTGTGTGTTTCCTATACGATTTAAGAGACACAATCGCGAAACTTGAAACGAAACGTCTTGCACATATGAGCGCAGATACGGATTATTCGTCGATGTCCGCGGAGGGATCGATCTTCGAGGAGATGGAGAATCGGCTGTCGAGTCTCGAACGCAGGTTGCGAGCGGTCGAACATCCCGGTAAGAATCTCACGATTCGTCGTATCACATACACGGTCAAAGACATGAAAACATTTATCCATACCCTGCAGTTTGGCAGATCGGCTTGAAAGAGGAGGACTGGGAGGTCTGTGCCGAGGGACCGTGCAAGTGCGTACCGGAAATGAAATCGGTGTCCTGCTGGAGATACAATCTGCTGTATCTACCCCCGACGCAATTGGTCCCCGCTGATGTGCTGAGGCTGTAAGCAATTTGAAAGATAACATCGTTATGTTTGTGTGACAGGTGTTCGATGATGGATACCTTTCGGAGAAGCAATCGAAAGTGTTACTGTTGAAACTTGAAGCGACAGACTTACATAATTTTGCAAATAAAATCGTAACTTTGTGTACAATATGTAAATTCTATTTAGTTTTGAAATAAAATCCCTTTTTTATATTGCACATTATAAAATAATTACTCTGTTGTTTAAATTGTGACTTTTGTATGCTGAAACATTTAGTGATATTAATTTTTTTTCCTGTTATTAAAGAAAATGTACATATGTTTATGCATATTTAATTATAATACAAATAGTTAAAGAATGGAAGGATCATTTACTTGGTGCGTATGTACTTTCAGGGATCTCGGGAGTAATCGACTCAGCGCTCTGCATAGAGACACGTTTAGGAACATGACGCAGTTACACCATCTGTAAGTCATGTAACGACCGAGAGATGCACGTAATAACGAAACTGTGAATTACAGGGATCTGAGCAGCAATCTAGTCGAGCATTTGGCGCCGAGCTTGTTTCAGCCGTTGCACGGTATCGCAAATGTCAGATTGAGTAACAATCTCTTGAAGGAAATGCAACACAATCAACTTTTTGGACTAAGGAATCTCCGAATACTGTATGTGAGATGCCTACGACTAGTAACAAATTAGAAGAGGAATGTAAAAATTGATCTCATTAGGCGTGCCAGTATCTTAATAGATCTTTCACATAGTTGAATCAATTTTTTAGATATCAAGTTGCTTTACTTGTTTTTTGACAAATATTAAATGTAAAAAAAAAGAAATGCTTGTGAACGATTCATCTGTAGAAGTATAGCATATACGTCTGTAACTATATAAAAAATTATTATATTTAATACATCTTGCTAAGAGAAAAAGATGTACTAATGTATATTGATGAGATTCATTTGTTTTAATTTGAAATTCGATGTTTCTTCTTATAAGTCGAAAAAAATTTAACACATAGTTTTTTTATTCGATTTAGCGATCTGTCGTCAAATAAACTCCGTACTTTGCCGGAGGATCTTTTCTTGAGCAACGGCCACTTGGCTTTACTGGATCTCTCCTTCAATCGTATCTCATTATTACCGCCTGGTGCATTTCATGGTCTCGGGAATCTTGATGAATTGTTGCTGGGCAAAAATCGACTAGCGAGATTACCCGTTTCAGTTTTCTGGGATACTATTAATCTCAAACGCCTCGCTCTCGAGGAGAATCGTTTGAAAGAGCTGCCTAGCGGAGTATTCAAAGAGCTGGCATCTCTCAAAGAGTTGAATATGCGGAACAATCGATTGACGGAGGTGCCCAAAGGATTGTTTTTGACCCTAACACAATTGGAAATTTTGGAAATATCAAGCAACAGAATATCTCGTGTAAATATCATTTATATTTTGTTGTAATTTTAAGAATTACAACGCTAGTATATAAATTACACGATATGTCTTCTATAAAAATATTTATTACGTGTTATGGGATATGTTATAAGCTTTTGGAGAATTATTTCTCTTTAGGTTTAAATAATTAGAATCTTTACGATAGATTGACGCAAGGGCCTTTCACGGTATGATGGGTCTTCGGGAGCTTCGATTAGGACACAATCATATAAAATACTTGCCGTCTGGATTATTCAACAATTCTACGTCTTTGGAACGTCTTATTCTCTATGGCAATCGCATAGAAATCCTAGCAAGAGGCGTTTTTCGCGGCTTGTCCAATCTCACTTCTCTTTTCCTGCAATCCAATCGACTGAGAATATTGCAATCAGGAGTTTTCGAGGACACGCCGAACTTAAAAAAATTGTGAGTCATACTTGAAATTAATACTGTTTAATATTAAAAATTATTTGTATATATTTTCTCACTTGATATTATGACGAGTGATGCCTTTGAGATATATCTGTACCTACGTAGAATTAGAATTGTGTTTTATAAGTTTTTGTTGTGCTAAATTCCAGTTTAAAAATACATTTTGGCCTGTTAAAAAAAAACTTTTCCCCATTCTCTGTCACCGTGTCGTAATATTTTAGGCAACTGGAATCGAACGACCTCTCCTTCTTGCCAGCTGGTAGTATGGACGCCATATCCACTATTCAGCAAGTACGCCTGGGCCAAAATCCCTGGCATTGCGATTGCCGTGCCTCTTACGTTGCTTCCTGGTTGCGCAAAAGATTCGCCAGCTTCGCGAATTTGACCACTCCGTTGCAGATACAGCGGGTTCTAATCATGACAGGCAATTGGAGTATCTGGGAATTTGGGGCCGGTGCAACATGCAGGGGTCCGGGCATACTGGGCGGTCAGTCGCTGCTACGTCTGACCTTTCATGAGCTCTGCGAGGGTCAGTGGGCCTCCATGAAGGGTATCATTCCACGGTTACCCCTCGACGTTATAGCGCCGTCTGTCACGCCGCAAGCAATCAGGACAAACACAATTTTTGTACGGATCGTATACTTGATTATGCACAATACTTCCAATCGAGTTTTGTTTCCTATTGGCGCAATAAGCCTGTAACATAATAGAAAGAAAACCATATAAATATGTAAAAAGTCGAATTAAATTTAGTGGAATAGAATAATGAAAATAAAGATAATTTCTACGTCTTTTCTAAGTATTCTCTCTTATTTTTGCTTATATTGTTACAGGTGTGAAAGACGTGAAGCTCGGACGTCTAAATTTTTTGTGAAAAATGGAATATTACGCAATATATGGAACATTTAATAATAATTAGCACGTCTCTTAAAATCTCTTTTTTCATTGAGTTTTGGTTTGTTTTCACGAAAACGTAGTGAAATATATTCGGGTTTCTTTGCAATCGTACGCTACGTCTATGTGATAATCAAATATATAATATTTAATGAAAATAATCATAACATAAATTATAAGTCACGAAGGTATGAAGGTTATTAACAGTTATTCGATCGGCAATAAAATGTAATTTTAAATGTGACTTTTTAATTATAATTATAATTTTTAATGTATTATTTCGTAGAGCTACAGATAAAACTGCTAATTTAATTTGAATTCGAGAAGACAAAGTTTCAAATAACGCGTATTAAAGACCCTAAAATTTCTAGAAAAGTTTAGTTTCGTCAAATCATACTTCGTAAAATCATACTTCTTTTTTTTATAATAATTTCAGGAATAATTTGGGATATACAATTAAATAAAATCACGTTTAAGGGAATTACAAATTAAATAACGGGTAATTTATACTTCTCGAGCTTCTTTCTTGGGAATAATTGTGAAGTCGCCCCCGTGTTTACGTTGATAGAAAAAGACGTGATAAAAGCGCCATTGAAGTTGATAAGCTATCCACAATCACTTCGCGGGGAAGGTATTATGGCGCCGGGTGGCAACATATCGATCATGTGTGTAATGATACTGGCTAGGAACTACGTTCTAGAACAAGACAAGACAAAGGGAATCCAAGGAAACTCACGTTTAGTGTGTTACATTTTCAAGCTTACCAAATTCTTATCTTGCCTACAGCTGCAATAAGTGATCGTCGAACGACTTCTATATATGCGAACTGATGTTAATTTTGCTTGTTAAATACTAGACTAAAAGAGATCATTTGATTTTGCTTTGAAGACGATTGAATGAAATTTACCTGGATTTTAAAGGTGATAATTACATAAGAATCCTTTTGTTACAGGTGAAAAAAGGATCGGTTTGGTCGGAAGAACGTGGGTGATCTGAAGAAAGGTGTAAGAAGAGCGATAAGACGATGGAAATTGCCGTTCTTCGGGAATGCCATCGCCGGCACTCCGGTATTTGGGGCTGTCGATCCATTACGGGAAATCGCCTAGATCTGTTGGCTAAAATCGATATGGCTACACATAGGCGGCTTACATAGGCTGCTTTCCTTTTAGGAGACACAAATCGACACAAGTTAACACACTCAGGCACAGTTTGCCACTGTGAAATGACAAAGATTTAAAGAACGAGACTGTAAGACAAGGTTCTGTCGAAAAAAGATTCTATCGGAATACTCGGAGCGAATGCGTTCTTCGGTCAGAAACACAACTCCGACTTTCCTCCCGAGCAAAGTGTCGAAAAGTGTCGATTGAATTTGAATTAAATTTTAAATGGAAAGCGACATGTGTCGATCTGTGTAAAAAATGTCGACTGTGTTCTCTAAAAGGAAAGCAGCCATAAACTCTAGGTACATAAACTGAATAGAATCGTAGTTGTTCACGTTTCAAGAAAAGGAAGAGATCACTTTGCAATTCAACGTCGACGTAGGGATCATTCGTATCCGATCAGATTACAAATAATCAGTACGTCGATCTTACGCAATTGTTACGTGTGCAATTTATTCAAAATGAATGAAGTCTGTGCAGTGAAATGTTGAGCAAAGTTTAAGAGTTCAAAGGATCTTTTTCTTTCCTTTGGCGATGTCTAGAAGGTTTAAAAATTATACTTCCTAGATACGAATGGAGAGATTAGCAGCTTTTCTTTATTTATTCTTTTTATTCCGATCGATATAGTTCGAACTCGGTGACCTGGAATCCGCATAATATACGCTCGGCGCGCCGTATCAGTGTTCTTTGATCCTGACCAGAAGTAGGCTCTTGCTCAAGAATCAGTTCCTTGTGTCGGATGCAAATAATGCTGGAGTTGAACAAGATGGCAAATTTTGTAAAACCGATTTGGACACAAATGCGAAGAGCGTACAGTGCAGTAGGAAGATAATAACAGGTCACCATTTTTATACTTATTTTACGAAACACTGTATCATTTTTGTAACAGTTTACATTTATTTGTAAAAAATCGAAAAGACATCCGAAAGGCACTTAATTTTTAAAGGGCATCTGAAAAATTAAGTTTTTATTCAATTTTTTATGGATATTGACTGAAAAATGGCCATCATCCTATCGCTTTAATATTTGATATATTCCAAGGTCGACGCAGTGAAATTTTGGTTAATGAAAGCTCGCGGTACAAGCGGTTTACGGCTATCTGTGGACCGAGCCATGTTCTGCGCGAGATACTTCCTCAGGCAAGTCAAGAAAACCGTTGATTTTCGCTCGTTACAATAGTAACATTGTTTGCTCTTGGTAAGTAAAATCATGTTATCGCAAAATTCAAGATTTAATCATGACGGGTCTTAGGTACATACCTCCGAGTATGCGTGATCAGAAGGAGACTCCAGCTTGGTGGGGGAGACTGCATGCTGTCACAGTCGAGATAAAGAAACGTTTGATTCTGGAGGGTTCTCTCATGATCACTTGTGCGTCGTTACCGCAGCTGCGGCTTGGTAATTTCTTTCATGATCGTCAACTGCCTTTGCCACCTACGGAATTGTCCATGGATTACATTCTCAATCAAATAGAACAAGCTGACTTGTAGACCAAGTGTTTTCATGGCTGTTTTCGTTAATGAGCTTATCACATGTAAAACATTGGAGAACTTATATATTCGACGCGCCCATTCATCGTTTGAAGAAAGAATTACTTCTTTTCACTGAAAAAAAATTTGTCAAGTCATAAAACTTTGCGTATTAATGAAAATGGAATTAACTTGCCGATGTGATTCACTTGTATTATATCTACTTTCCTTCTTTAGGGACATATAGAATATATATAGAAACAAAGATGTATACTCTTATGTAAATCCTGTTAAGATAAAATAGTTTCTTCGAGTTAAATCATTGCTTGAAAGTTTTTCATAAAAATGCGATAATTCATTCACTATTACGCAACATCTTTAGAATATTAGATACGAATATTTTTTTGTTAATAATTATAGCATGCACGCATCGCAAGATATCTTTTTACACTTCGGTAGTTCATTATGCTTTGTTTTCTTTTCGTTATCATAAGAAAGAGATATGTCCACGTTTCTTTACAATTGCGCATTGTGTCTGTGTGATAATGCAACTTATACTATTTATAATCGTAACGTAAAATATGGCATGAAAGAAAGAGAAGTGTTCAATAAAACCGCAGTTCTTAAAACATTCAATTGTAGCGATCCTTTATTTCAAAAGTCTGTTTTCGCTAAATTGTCTCCTGAGGGTCGGATTTCTGTATTTTTAAACTGCATAGAGTCGCGAAGCGACACTTAATACTGTGTTTAAATAGAATTTATTACAAGGCAGAATGAGAAAGAGACAATAATCTACTAATCACGTAACTTTTCTTTAAGGAACAAATTTTTTGCTATGATTTTCTATGGTTTTCATAGAAAAATGCGATTTAATTGTTTAAGATTACAATTAGAAGCTGCGGATAGTACCAGAATTATTCGATACCGACATTTAAAATCTATAAGACGTCCGTAAATCGTTCTAATCGCGCTCAAACTTTTCTAAGTATCTGGAGTATTGGTATCTAGAGCACGCGTCAGTAATTCAACTCTCGTTGTATTTGTATGCGATTTGCGAAAAGCCAAAGTGCAAGCACCAACTCGAGCGTGACGGCGAGATGAACTCTATGAGTAATTGGAACTTTGCAGCCGCACGATAGAATCACTGAGGTTCACGTACGTACGACGCGTTTTCAACGACTGCGACAAAGAGCGATTCGCTTGCGGTGAGTCGAAATGGAAGGGACCCAACAAGCGGGCCGGTGGATTTGTCGGTTGGTCGGTCAGTGTACTCTTCGCGATGGCTGCATCAAGTACCAACGGCATCATCGATCTGTTGGAGAAGTTTCTGAAGATTCTCAAGGAGGAGCATGCGTTCGACCGATCGGATGATCAACCTGTTGTGCGATTCCGTTACCCCGCATATTTACAGGTGAATAATAACTTTATTTTCTGTGTTAGCTGTCGTGCAAAAGTCTTTCATATATTAACTCGTTTCTACACGAAAGTGTCTTTTTAAAACTCCTTTAAACTTCTTATTTTACTTCGGTTATAATGTCACATTGTCTGTATGTTACATTATATTTTTAATTGTTTTCCTGTTACAATTAAATGAGGATTAATAATTTCATTTATACCTTGAATGACGAAGAAATGTGAAAGTGTTTATTTTAATTTATTCATTTCAAATGTGCTTTAAGTAAAAACTTAATTGCAAAATTATTAAAACTTATATTAAACGATGTATAAAATTAATAATGATATGACAATCAAATATTTAGACTTGGTTTAATCTCCTTTGGTAAAATAGTCTTTTTAACATAGTATACCGATGTTTAACGAATTTGAGAATACTTTTGTAACAGTAACATTGAAATTGTCGTATAGTAGTTAGAAAAAAAATGTAATTGTTTATTTTACCGTACATTTTTACCTCCTAACATTTGCTTTAGAATTACATTTTTTGAGCATTTCTCTTTTTCTTCTTAAACACAGTGTTTTCTGTTAAGACTATTCTTAAGTACTTGAGAGCAAGATTAATATAATGAAACGCATTATGAAAATCGTTAGCAATATTTAGAAAAATAATAAGATTAATTGTATAATAGAATATAATAATGAATACCTTTGTTCCATTTTCATTGTGTATTTATCTTGAATGCTTCAACGATCCTCGATGCAGCGCACATAGCAATGGATTCCGGCGGGAGAAAATATTCCATGGTGCACAGCGGAATACTTGCTCGTGGAATATTTACTAATATGATACGCAGAAGTTTGCGATATAGGTATGGGGTCAACGATTGCGGCGTTAATGCGAATGTTCGCCAGACGAATTGTCGCTTTCTTCGAGGAACTTTGACACGCCGCGATAACGTATCATTTTTTTCAGGAAGTTCCTTTATGAATCGGAATTATAAGAAATGCTTCGAGATCTGAAATTAACGTGTTTACAGACTCGGATTTCGAGCCTAGGATTATTGAGAATTCAGATAATCCCAATAGTTTAAACATTAGTTAGCTGGTTGTTTATTGTCTGAAGTGTATATGCGAGGAACATGTATTGCCATAGAAATTACGATGCTAAAGCCCATTGAAACAATTTTTTGACAATTTACAATTCACGTGAAATTCTTAAATAGAATTTTGTTTCATAATTTTATATTGTGTACTTGCATATATTATATTTATTTACATATTATATATATTAAAAAAACATTTTGATATATATTTTATACACATGCCATATATTTTGATTCCTTGCGTGTTTTTTGTATCAAGTCGAAATCGAGGGTGAGAAAACGTGAATAAATAACTGGTACCATCGATAGCAATTCTATTCTGAATCGTGACATGAATTATAATTTGTCTAAAGTTCAGGAGCGTTAATTTTAATAATCGCCTTCTTATTCAACCTTGTAATAATTTCTTTCTTACTTGATGTTATTTTTGCGCAGAAAAAGATGTCACTCTCTTTGGATGACAACCCAGCGAGCGGCAAGGAAATAGAAACGGCGATAAGACAGACTATACGATACTCCGTGAAAACGTCCAGTCCGCATTTTCACAATCAACTCTACGCCGGGGTCGACGAGTACGGATTAATTGGCTCTTGGTTGACGGACGTGTTGAACACCAGCCAGTAAGAACAGTTTCCAAAACAATGCAAAACGATCTAAAATATTGGGCAATGTGTACGCTTCGTGTTTTGCGGGATGCAGTTTTATCTGCCTTTCTTGACGAAACGCGATGAGTAATCAGAGCTATTTCGTTATCGTCTCGTGAGCACCAGACAACATTGCTAACCCAGTTTGCGTCTCGGATGGTGCACGACCTACATGAATTTCAATTAATGATGTATCGAAGTCCTTATCATCACTAATAAAGTTTTGATTTCGATAGAGAAATGAGAAGTTAGATAACTTCTGTCCGATTATGACTTCAGGAATGCCTTTCACAGTTGTAAATACTAGATGCTGCGTCTAAATGAAGTGGAATACGAGCTAGTTGTTAACCGCGATTGCGGATGTTTTCTGTTAGGTATACCTACGAAGTCGCGCCTGTGTTTACTCTGATGGAGCGAGAAGTGATACAAAAGTCACTGGAGCTGGTCGGCTACCCGCCGATGCCGGACGCGGACGGTATGATGTGTCCAGGCGGTAGCATATCGAATATGTATGGAATGTTGCTGGCCAGGCACAAAATAATGCCGTATGTGAAAAAGTCGGGACTCTGTTCGCTGAAATCGCCTCTAGCGTGTTTCACTAGCGAAGACAGTCATTACTCAATCCTGAAAGCTGCCAATTGGTTGGGCTTTGGCACCGATCAAGTTTACAAGGTACGGAAACGCGAAGAGATAGCGAGATTCAATTAAAGAAGTGCATCCTAATCCTCTCGAGAGAGAGTAAAATCAAAGAAGTTGCGATTAATTCACAGTCCAATTTGTAATAATAACTGTTATTAGATTTTTATAAACGCCAGATTTCACGTTAATAAGTTAGAATGCAAGAATTTTACCTTATTTTTGGTTGCAGCAAACGTTCATCGAACGACGATAGTGGGCTGTTTGTATAGTGGAATAATATATTTTACATTCTCTCATTTTCCTTAGTAAAATTTTTCTTTGAAAAATGAATATTGGCTCTAAAAATGAATGGATTCTAACCGGATCTTTAAGTTAATGGTCACGACCAATCGCGAGAGCATGTCCTTCCGTTATAGGTGAAGACGGATGAGTTTGGCCGCATGAAAGTGGGTGACCTGAAGAGACTTCTAATGAAGGCGAAGAGCGACGGGAAACTACCGTTCTTCGTGAACGCCACCGCCGGGACCACGGTGCTAGGTGCCATTGATCCGTTGCCGGAAATTGCCGCGATATGCCGAAACGAGTCACTCTGGCTGCACGTAGACGTTCGTATAAGCTTGTGAGAGCTGATTAGCTCGAGGGACCGACGTAATTTTAACAGAGATTCGTTGCAGGCTTGTCTCGGGGGGACCTTGCTGTTCTCGGAAAAGTACCGGTACAGGCTGCGGGGCATCGAAATGTAATTATTATGACCGTGTCGTCATGAAAGGAGAGCGGCGAGCCTTTTTGAAATTCCAAAGTCGGCGGGTTCGCAATTATTGTCGTCTTGAATAATCGCTGTCCCTCGTTTATATCAATGCAGTCAAATTTCGTTGAGATGTTTAGACAAAATAGTACCCACCTACGAAAGAACCTGTGAAAGAATGGGGAAATACTTTCCTTTCTGCGACTTCAAGAATAGCGATATTCAATGGCACAAATGGGTCTTTCTAATCAATTCTCTTTGTTTAACTTTCACGGTTCAGGTCGGACTCCGTGTCTTGGAACCCGCACAAGATGCTCGGTGTGCCGTTGCAATGCTCTTTATTCCTGGTCAAAGGTAAAAATGCGCTGCACGAGGTGAATTGCGCCCAAGCCAGGTATCTTTTCCAGCAGGACAAATTTTACGACGTCAGTTGGGACACGGGCGATAAAAGCGTACAATGCGGTAGAAAGGTAATCACAAGTTTGTCAGGTTTACGAGATACCTGATATCGTATCGGTTCTCATTGTCAGTCATAGTAACTCCTAAATATATAGAAAGGTCCAAGGTTCGTTTCAGAATCTGTGGAAAAGCACGTTAGAAGAGACAAAACTTAGAATATCGTTTAAACATCGCTACAAGTTGACCGAAAACACATCGACTGAAAATTAATTTAAAAATCCTCCAAGGTCGACGCAATGAAGTTCTGGTTAATGTGGAAAGCCCGCGGCAAGATCGGCCTCGCGCGATCGGTGGAACAAGCGATGTCCTGCGCGGAATACTTTCTAAAGCGAATTAAGGAGACTACTGGCTTCCGGCTGGTGCAATCTCACTATCAGTGTTCCAATGTCTGCTTTTGGTAAGAAACTCCACGTTCTCGCGGAGATACGCGGTTGTAACGGCGGAGTATCTTTTCAGGTATGTACCGCCGATGATGCGCAATCAGAAGGAGACTCCAGCTTGGTGGAAGAAACTGTACGAGGTCACAACGCAGATAAAAAAACGCATGACGCTGGACGGCTCTCTCCTGATTAGTTATACGCCGTTGGCGCAGAAGGAGCTCGGCAATTTCTTTCGCATGGTCGTGAACTGCCAACCGCCACCCACGAAGTCGTCCATGGACTACGCTATCAGTCAGATAGAAAAATTCGCGGCTGATTTGTAGAAACGAGCTCTCGTGCTTTTCTTCGCGAGCTAAAAGTATAACATTGAAGATTCGTTTTTATTGCGAAGATTGGCATTTGATTTGAAGTACTTACGGAGTCGTAAAAAAGAAAGAATGTCTTTATTGTCTATATTACAAACAAGTGCGCGGGATAAATGCATCGGGTACGGTATTTATTACTCGCGTATACATGTGACCTCGATAATGATAACTTATCTGATGCTTGGCAACATTAAACATTGTTACATCATAAATTTCGCGACCTTACGTTACTTCACATATCATTATTTCACATTCTTTCCACGACGGGAAGTACATAAACTCGCAGGAAACAATTAACGCGCAAACTCTTAAGCCTAATCTACAATGTGCTTCCTGCATCTAGAAACATTCTATTTTATGTAAACAAATCAAAACGCTTAACAAACTTGTCGACAATTTACGATTGTACAATGTATAATGCACAATTTATCAACTTGCCCAAATTTTGTAAACGTATTTATTGGCTAGGAAATAGAATGTTTCTAGACGCAAAAGGACACGTTGTAGATTAGCCTTTATGATCTGGAAGACATCAGCGATTCCCTCAGGTTTTAAACCAGAAATTCGTGTCTCTCCTTAAACTTGGCAAGGAGAAACATAAATTATTTCAGTGCGGTCGCATGCATAAACGTAATTCGCGGGCGCGACTCAATGTGAGCCAATATAAATGCAATCGTCGCGCGACGTGTGTGTTCACTTCTTACATAATATACGCATTCGCTTCACTCGTACAGCTACGTTTAAGAAGATACATTCTTATGTACAACTCCGTATCATGGCACTACGTTACTCGGTATAAAATTCGATATTTCTCTTGAATAAAAAACAAAAAAGACAAATCATCTCTCCAAAATATCTTCACGCAAACCTACATAATACACTTTGTATTTGTACAACTTTATATATATATCTCTCTAAATCAATCAATCCATCAATCCTCGGCAGCCTAAGCGTGAGTTGCAGTATCCTTCTTTCTTGTTAACTTCGCCTTGAATGAATACAATCTTGCAAGTATAAAGTGATGAAAAATTATTCCCGTGAGAAATCATAAAACTTTATACGGATGAGCCAAAGTTGAATGCCCAAGCGTGAGCGGGATTGATTATCGATTTCGTTCGTTCTCATTCTCTCTGTCTCTCTTTTTCACCGATATATATACACAGAACAAAAATAAACTCTTATAAACTTTCTCGAAACAACGGCTTTCTCCTGGGAGTCAGCTGAGTTACCGCATCGCACGACGAACGATGCATCACGAAATGCCATTATCTCATATACAATATTTTAAGATACGACAACTGAAGAAAGAATATTGTCATGTCCCCCTCGAAACATATACCGAATTTTTATCATTCAATATTGAACAATGTCGTCAACTAACTTGCATCGTTAATCGCAGCGTCATTAAAGCCCAATCTACAATGTGCTTCCTGCATCTAGAAACATTCTATTTTGTGTAAACAAATCAAAACGCTTGACAAACTTGCCGACAATTTACGATTGTACAATGTGTAATGCACAGTTTATCAACTCGCCCAAATTTTGTAAACGTATCTATTGGCCAGGAAATAGAATGTTTCCAGACGCAAAGGACACATTGTAGATTAGCCTTTACTCTCAAACGCGTCGGAGAACACGTACATCGCTTATCTAATACTAAAAACATGTAGTCTTGTGAACAGGCGCTTGTGTGATCGATCATGTGTTTGTCGTTTTTACGTCACTTTTACGTCGAAGATGACGCCTTAACTTAATTAAGTAAATACATTTTTCCTGTAACAGGACGTTCGTTTTCACACTTGCCACTTTGACATCAATCGAACGCTAATCGATCAACAAAGTTTACGTGCAGCAAATGGGTGGAATGAGTTCGCATTCGTGCTCGGCATTACGACTCACTGTACGAATAAATCACACGAAAAATCACGCGCTTGAAGAGACCAGAACACAGATCACCAGTAAACTCGTTCAGTAATACTTGTCCTGATCGAGATCGGCACGGATGTGTTGCTGGCCGTGACTGTTACGCTTCAGAGTGGCGGACTCGTAATCGAGACTCTTTGGATATAACTTGGGGCTGCCGAGGCCGTTGACGTTGGGATTGTTCTTACCGCGTAGAGTACCGTTTCCGTTGGTGCTGCCCGAAAAACTGGGCTGTCGCTTCGCGTTCACCTGTAAGAATTAATATTCTTTCAAGTATATATTCGCGCGCGAAAGACGACGCGGTTAACAATTGTGTACGCTTCTTCGGGCCTTACCTCCTTCAACGGCACGATGACGTAAGAATTCTGCTTACTGATGTAATGCGGACTCCCTGGAATGCTCGGCTTGCGTCGTTTTAAATAGCAGAAGCACAGCACCGCGGTTAAGGCCAGGCCGATGATGAAACTGATCACACAGCTGCCCACTACTGCGCCCACCGTGACGCCCGAACTGTCCACGCTCGAAGGCAAGGCGTTTACGTCTGGAAAAGAAAAACAATGATCATCAGTGTTAATCTTCAGTCAATTTTCACAATCAAATGTAAAAATCGTATTTAATATTGAAATATATTGTCTCGTGGACATCGTAACTTAAAATTATTCCAACAAACTCACCATTATCCATGCAGTCTGGAAGGCAGTCGCGTGTCTCGCGATTTGATCCCTGACACATGCCGGGCCCATGCTGAAGGCACGTTCGCTTCCGATGCTGCTGACGGTCACCATCGCAGGGCGTCCAACGCGACCACGTGTCCCAACCAGCCAGCGATTCGCAACTGGGCATTTCGCAAGTCTCCCTGGCCAATCTCGGGCCGCTGCAACTCTCCGGGCCAAGGCATTCTCTCGTCCTCGTACGCACTCCGACGCCGCATGTTGCCGAGCATTCGGACCATTCTGTCCAGCATGACCATTGACCCTCTGCCGTATTACCAGTGCCGGAATTCAAGCGGCACGGGTGTGAATTGCAGACTCTACTCTGCGTGGAAACACCCTCGCAAGGTGGCGACTCGCATTGTCTCGTCTGCAAAGAAAATGTAACTTGCATTCGCTTTTGTAGCAAACGTCAATAAACTGCTAAAACATTTCGATCGCTTTGAATTAAATTATCTACATTTTTCAGAACCGTAATGGAATCGTAATACTTGAGTGCACACAAACAATTTTACTTTCTGGTTTCATTTCACTTTTAAATAAATAAAATGTTAAATAAAATGGCGCGAACATTCGGTTTCCAAAGTGCTCTGTAAAACAAGATTTTATTTCAGACAAGATCGTATCAAGATAATGATGTCGGAAATATTCACCCTGTGCTGGGTACCCCTTCCGCAAGAACGGTCGCACAAGCCCCAAGAGGACCATTCGCCCCAGCCAGTCTCGTTGATGAATTCTGCGTACGCATCCTTTCCTCTCAGACAAGACCCGTCGTTCCTGCAGGAACGTTCCTCCTCCTTGGCGAGCTGTACTCGCACGCTTGACGGATCATCCGTCTGCGCGCGGCAACTGAACCGGAAACGCTTCTCCAGGTAGACCGTGTTGTCACTTTGTATACTAGCATTCACGGCCAACCAAGGGGTCCATCCGGAGTATCTCTTCGTCTCGCTGCATTTGTGAGTGTTACACTCCTCGATCTAAAATACATTTCGGTCTCGTCAAGCAATTCCTGCAATTTCCCATCTGGCTGTCAGGGAAGACCTAAAAGAGGAGATATACTCTCACACTTTCTTGGGACTTGCCTGAAAATCGCATCCCGGACACTCGACACCGCCCTTCTTCGGCGATGGGCTGTCGCAGGTTCTCTTTCTGACACGTATCCCTGCAAAATGGAAACGGATAATTTTACTTGTAAGAAAACACGAGATGCCGTTTCTATGTTATAGCGCAAGCATCTGAAATCTTATTCAACATTTTCCTCGGGCGTTTACTTGACCTTTGTATCGTCTGAGATGTCATCCCTGCTTAAAAAGTCAGATAGACAACGAATAAAAATTATAAAGATTATCGAAAAATTGTATGATAATCTATATGGCCTATGTGAAGGGCATTTTCATAACGAAAAAATATTTATAATAACAAATGTAATCTTATAATAAATTTTCCTAATGTGAATAAATGACAGAGAGAGAGAATCAATAGTTTTATATAATAACTTCCAACACTTATGATTTTAAATGTTTCATAGTGCTATCGGGAGCTATCCTTATCTATCTGGAAGAAATGACATTTCGTTTTATGAGACATTAACAAAAGATTATTTATAATATTCTATCGTAGTTCTGTGTAACATTAATACTTATGATATTGAATCAGAAATTCACGACAGAATTTATCATTTCTTGTGTGACTTACATAATTTGTACACCATTTGTACAACATTGAAAGTACACAAAAGTTTTGATAAAATACGATTGATACTTACTGCATTTGTTTATACCTTATTTTATAGATCCAATATTATGTGAATGGCGGATAGCATTGCATAGAGTTCTATTTGAACATTATAATAAGATATGATATCTTATAATTTGGAAAATTCTCATAACATATAATATACAATTATGCGTAACATTCTTATAAGTTTTTATTTGTACAGTATATGAGACATTACATTAAATTTCTATCGTTAATATATTGCCCACTTACGAAAATCAGGAATCAGAAACATGATTAAAAAAGAAAGGAATATTTTTTCTGCGAGTTTTTCAATTCTTTAATTTCGGATAGCATTGCATAGAGTTCTATTTGAACACTATTATAAGACCTGATGGCTTATTATTCGGGAAATTCTCATAATATATGATATACTATTATACGTAACAGTCTTATAGGTTTTTATTTATAAGGTATGTGAGATTCTAATGAATTTTTTTTTCGTTTCCTATCTGACTTTTTAAGCAGTAATGTTAGTCGCGAGTACTCACCGCCGTTGCACGGCCGTGAAGAACACGGGTGCCAAGAGCCCCAGGTCGACCACTGACCAATCTGAGGCGGTGGAGTGGCTTTAGCGGGAGCAGGACAGGGCTGCTGATCGATGCACATGATATCATCGTGATCGTGTCCGACGCAAACGCGCCCGCCGAATGCTGGCGCCGGATTCGTGCAGGTCCGCCGGCGGGTTTTCATCGCGTAACCGCAAGACTGAGAGCACTCTGACCAAGCTGACCAAGCGGTCCAACCGCCGTGAACGGTGCAATTTGTCACTCTGACACGCGTACCCGTGCAACTCTCGCCGCCGTGCTGCGGTGGAGGATTATTGCATTCCCTAGTTTGACACTGACACGTGTCGATTTTCTGCAAGGCAAATTTTCAGCGTTGCTCATCAATTGCCCGCGACTTTGACGATTGAAAGAGGGTTCATAAGCCTCGAGAGACTCTTCAAGTTTTATTTTATTTACTTTACGGCGAAGGAGATGCTCTCATACGTTAAATCTAGTACGTTCAATCGCGAAAGACTCAGGTCGACAGAGGGATGAATCCGTTACAAATGTATTAACATGACTGTCTAATGAATGTAATTACCTCGTGTTCGCTGTGCGAGTGCGCGTGAGTGTGAATATGTCCAGGCGATTGTTCTCCCGTGCCGTGCTGGCAGGGTGACCAAGAACTCCACGCGCTCCAGCCTCCGTCAACAGGATCGGTAAGCACCGGACACTTGGTGACCTCCTGATGCCAATGATTCGCCAGGTAATTCTGCTTCGGTGCCTGCGCGCACTTCATGAGATGCTCGTTCCACCCGCAATACGGCTCCTGGGCGTTCAAGCACGCTTGACGGCTCCGATGACGATAACACTGAACGGCAGGTATGCTAAACGACGGAAGGCATTACGGTGCGGTTTAGCGAGGCATTTGGCACAAACAATATTTGCCGTTCGCGATAATGTACGTAATTTATGAGCGACGTATTTATTTGGGGCAACATGATTTACAATTAGATGATGCTGTCGATTTAACTTTAGTTTCGATAATGTAACGTTCGCTAAGGTTGATGAAATTTTACGGCTACCACCGGGAGTCGTTGGCTTACCGTAAGAGGCCAATCTCCATGCCGACATAGAGGCTCTGCGTGTCTTTGAGAAACTGCAACGTCATCGGCGCGGAGGGTAAAGGTCCCCAAATTTCGACGGTGCAGGTCTCCTGCGTCCTAGGCAGGACCGAGATCTTCTTGATCAGCCCGGTCGCCGTGGCGACGTAGAGGACGGTCACGCTGCGGTGCAGCTTCGTCGGGGTGACGTCCACCGCGATATGGGTGAACCGCTCGAGGATCGCGGTGTGCAGCGGTCCCGGCATCGTGCTCTGCACCGCCTCGTCCATCAATTGGTACCACTGATTGTCCATTATCTCATGCGGCGCGGTGCTGGTCGGAGGTCCGCAGCGCTGGCGATTATGATGGGCGACCGGTCTCCTTTCCCAGGCGGCACCCGCATTTTTCTGATACTTGAAAGGCCCGTTAAAACTGGCGGTGACGGCCGACATGTTGAACGCGCAGATAGCCGAGCCTGCGATGCCGTTACTGCGACGGAGGGAAAAAAGGATTCCATTTAATGCCGGTTTCTTCTTCGAGGGATCGCAGCTTCCGCATCCGAAAAAGCATTCCGTTGCAGTCGAGCGATAGAGAGTGTAAAGCCGAGAGAGTTAGCGAGTCGCGCTTGATGTGACTCTACACGGAGGGAATTTTCTCTTGAAACTTACTGAAAATTATGTAATCGTGGGACAACATCGCATGTTGAACAACCTTATGAGAGTATGTTGAAATTTTACCATACACTTTACTAGTAAATTTCAAAAAAACTCTCACACAAAATTCTTCGAAATGCCCGCGTTGTCCCACGTTGACACGATTTTCAGGATAAATTTTAAGAGAAAATTCTCTCCGTGTAGTAAACAACGGACTTGGAATAATTTGGGATATGAAAAAATAAGTGACTCACTGATGCAATTTTTGTCTAAATTCAGGAAATCTAAGGAGTTATATAAAGTATAAATACTTAATTAGGATCAATCACTGTTGCCAAATCTCTGTTACGTAATAAATAATGAATTTGACGTAGAGCAAGTTAAGAAGCCAACATCTGCGTTGCGTGTCGCATAATCAATTTGCCATTTACCGTCTCTTGCGTCCATCTGGGATTGTGCGCAGACATAAACACAGAGGATAATTAATGCGCCTTCGAATTAATCGGATCGCTGAGCGATACTCACATGGGTGTCGTGAACGTCGCGTAAATGATTTCCTCTTCCGGATGATAGACCGCGCCTTGGATTTCATCATAGTAGAACGGGAACTCGCCGTGGAGGGAACAATTCAAGCGAGCCTTACTGAAAGTCGTCCACACGTCCTTCATCACGATCTGTCCACCTCGGTCGTTTTTACAGACCCTCGCTATCCTCGAGTATATTTTCTGCAGCCACACGCCGTAACGTACGATTAAACTTTGACGGGCGCGAGTTTCGCTAGTGTAAAAGACAATGGTAATCGCGCTTCGAATGGGAGAGAAGCATGAAAAACGAGTAAACAGCATCTTCTATCGACATTTCAAGCGACCTCGTTGACTTTTGACGTTCGCGAAGCGGCGTCGAGCGAATTAATCTACCACGTTGAAGCGGCAAATTCAGCCTCGCGCTTGATCGTGATCGAGGTATGATTGCGCGCAACCGGATGCAGAGTGTTTCATTAGATCCCTAGGCGGCAATTTGAGCGGCGATAGGTTGAGAAAATGATAAACATCGCGCGAACTAAGATCATGTCTGGGGATGATCATTTTTCTGCCGCGCGAGAGAGGCAGATCCGCGACGCGCGTCGCTCGTTTCGACCAACACCGTAAACGGTTAATTACACGGCTGACGCAAGTCAGAAGAGACGAGATCGCTAATCGCGCGAGTGGCCTCCTCGCGCTGTCCCGCGCGCGATGGAAGACGCGCGCGCGTCACGGCGGATTATTCCGCGGCGTCGATCTTACCTTGCCGCAGTTGATGTACTCCACTGCGGACTCGCGAAATAGAAAGTACACGTGATCCTCCGTATCGAAGCTGCCGACGAACTGCGGGTCGTTCAGCCACCTAAAAGGAAAGCGCGAACTTAGAGAGAACGGGACTCCGGCGTGATAAATATCGCGGGGCGATAAGCAAGACCAACAATCTTGCAAAGCGGTTATTACGATAAAATTAATCTCGTTTGTTTTTCAACTGTAAAAGGAATTTCGCAACAATTTCGAAAGAAAGAGAAGACCAAAGCGGACTGTGGCAAGTCGAGTGTAAAGTGACATTTTTCCAGACTGGATCAGGTGGACCGAAGCAACCGGGCGCTCCCTTTCTCATCCCGCGAACGTACCTGGAATCGTATTGTCGAGTCCTGAGGGTCGGGGAGGCCAGCGTTCTGTAGATCGCAGGATCGGCTCCGGAGAAATCGGTCGGCGCGCCGGCGAAGAGCCCGCCGGAAGGACCCCTCGAGAAAAGTGCCGTGACGTTCGCATGCGGCGAGTACGGGCACATGGCCACGCCCGACATCTCGCTGGTCACGCTCGTTATATTCTCGATCTGCAATCATAATTGCCACTGTATAGGCGACCCCGTAGCTGTCCCTAATCGGGCGTTGCACGGCACAAGGCCCGGTTTCACCAAATCGTCGTTTAACCGTAATCTTAGTGTAATGCACGTTTGTCTCTTTCTAAAGTAACAGAAAGAGACAAAGGGCGAATTAAGCTAAGCTTAAAGCGACGTTGGTGAAAGGCCTAAGGGCCAGTTTCACAAACATCGGCTAACTGTTCACTAGAGTTCAGTCAACTCTATCTTTTTCTATCTTGTTATCTGAGAAGAGACAGAAAATCAATTAACCTGAGGTTAGCAATTAACCGATGTTTGTGAAACTGGTCTTAAAGCCTCGTGTCCACAATGCTAGAAATCGGCCCGAGATCTCGATCCGAGAAATATGTAGCCAATCAATTTGCATCTTTTACAGAAAAGCCGCAGGTGATTGGCTACACACCCTAGTAGCACAATGTTGGGAAATAATTAAATCTAGTATCCCAATAATGCAAGATGGACGCCTTCTCTTATTTAGCCAGTTTGTCTATTTAGCAATAATGGTCTAATATTGATACAATATATATTCTTAGCACATTGCTAAATATTGGTCAATGCACTTCCAATTTCAATCTAATGTTATATAATTATTATCGTACAATATTTACATTTATTCCACAGCCAATATTGGCTTTACGTTGGACAACACCGGCCAATGCATTTCTAATATAACCAACATTGGACCAATATTTAGTCAATGCACTATGTTACTAGGATCGAGATCTCGGGTCAATGTCTAGCGTCGTGGACGAAAAGCTCAATGGCGGCGATGATCCGCGTCCGTCGTCGTGACGCTTGTCGAATCGCGACGGGCAACGGGCAGCGGGGGCTCGTAATTATGAACGAGACTGGTCCCCCGATCGGACAGAGATTACTTTTGGAGAACGTACCTCTCGCCACGCGCACCACGGGCTGAATGCGTAAGTGCCGCAGGTGAAGAGGCTCTTGCCGTTGCTGAGGAGCACCTTGACGTAATTATGACAATCCTCGACGCTCTGGCCCTTATTCTGACAGGTGTTGACCTTGTCCTCCGGCGCGGACCAGGAGGCGTGCTCCAGGTCCGTCAGCGACGTCAGCGTCAAGCGGTATAAATTATCCCTGAAAAGAGACGTTTTATTTACATTTTCGTCGGCGCGCTCTTCACGTGTCATTAAGCGCGTGTCCCGCATAAAGGCCGGACGCTATTAACCCATTAAAGTCCACTGTCGCTGCCGCGACTGTCTCCACTTGTCGCCTCCGCGACATTGTTTGCCGGTAACACCTTCCCGCGGCAAACAACTCTTTAGTGTTCTACGTTCGATGTGAAGTAAATTAAATCTGGATCTCGCAGCTTCTCGAGAATCGCACGGATCTCGGGGAGAATTATGACTTTTTATTGGGCTCGTCGGTGGGTTTCCGTGAGCCGAGGATCTCTCGTCCCGGAGACTCAACGTTCGCGCGACCTTAGATGAACTTTCATTAAAACGGAACGTTTCACGTTGAAAGTCGCGTAGCAACCGGTAATCGGGAATGTCACCGGCCATATATAACGCGTATCTCAATTTCAAATCGAGGAAGAATAACCGTGACGAGTGACGGGCAGCGAGTAACGACGATAGCTTCCTTCGTGCGACACATATCGCATTCAACGAGGTCGCCATAAGCCACTTAGAGTAGACTCGCCGTGCGGTCTTGCCTACCGTTTCTCTTATACCTGCGCGATTGTCGATGCCGATATTCATGAATACTTTAACGACGCCGTTGATTATGCTACTCCAATTATCCGCCAATAAACATGTGTTTAACATGTCTAAATGAATGTTCATAATTTATCAGTATCAGACATCGCCTCTCATGTCTATTAATAACTAGAGAAAAATTTTCCACGTTAAATGCGTCGCGATATATTCAACGGTTCATCGAAGAAATAGATGATTTGCTATTATCGGCGTGAAGAATGAAAATCCTCGTAAAATAAATTAAAACGATTCTCTTCAGTTTGACATTCGGGCACTCGCGAGAGGTAGAAAATTACGCGTTGATAGATTTAAACCTAAGGATGTGATAATTCAATGCTTTGTGCGAGAACAGATCTCGCGGAAAACTTTGTAAAAAGATGTACTACTATCAACGTAAACAGCTCAACGAAAATCTCTGAAACGAAATTCGAGAATTATATCGAATAATCTCTGAAATGAGTTGAAATAATTCTCTTCAGTTTGGTCTTTGACATTTGAATACCCGCGAGAGGTAGAAAATTACGCATTGGTAGATTTAAACCTTTTGATTTAAACTTAAGGGTATGATAATTCAACGCTTTGTGCGAGAACAGATCTCGGGAGGCCTCGTAAAAAGACGCGAATGGGAGAAAAGTCGCCCGTGAGTCAAGTTATAACTGACGCAAGAACCGCGAGGATTAATGATTTATGAGAGGACGGTCGAGGACGTCCTACGGAGAGCTGAACGGAAAGCTGATGGTTTTCCGTGAAACAAACGCGCTACCTTCCGAGGAATGCGACCGCTTGCGAAAGGTGACGTGACGAGGTGCCCGGTATCGTCGAGATAAAAAAAAAAAACCCTCGAGAGGAGCGTCACTTGGTCCGTGCGTTTCATTCCGCGAAGCGTTACACGGCCGCGTCTCTCGCGGCCGATCTCGAGGCGCTCTCGCATGGGGCACTCGTGGCAGTCACGAAGGCGTACTGGGGTTTGACAGCGGCTTCGAGGAGCCCTCGAAAACTCCTCGGACGACATTCCACGGCAGCCCACTTGACTTCAATGCGACGTGTACTCACGCATACGTACGCGAGTGCGTATGGCGCTTCGCCACCGAGTACGCGGGAGATGGAGAGATCGAGCGATTGCGCGCGTTCTCCTCCGGCGTAATCAGTGGGCTGGACATTCCTCGCGTGTTATCGGGGATTTTCGATCTAATCGAGAAATTTTCGGTGGATGTAAATGCTCGGCAAGAATATATGGCATTTTCTCGCGCTCGGAGAGCATCGACACGTCATTATTATCCAATGGAACGTTGTACTTATGGAAAGCTTCATTTACGCGAAGATCTTTCGAAGCTTCGGCACATTGTAATGCGATTAGCAAAATGATAGGTTTGTGCGCTGCGGCTTTTACCGACCGCGACGGAAGCGGAAACTCGTGTACGCAGACGGGACGACGTTGGCAAGTCTGGCGCGAGGAAACCGCCGGAAGACGGCGATCAACAGTCACTTCGGGAAGCTAAATAAATTATCATCGACTTATAAATAACACACGAAGATATGGTCCGCGCGTGATCGTCCGCCTGTCTCTTCTCGGCGACGACGACGAGGATCGAACAGGAAGTACAGACGGCGGTCGAAGCGGCCGCAGATAACCAGTGGATAACTCGATACTCGCCTATGTCCCTTTAAGTGGCGACGCAGGTGGCTTTTTTTCCGCTTCGGTAAATGAAAGCTGCGTGCGATCACGACGGCAATTCGTTGTTCCGTGACAAAAAAATAGGCCTTCAAAGTAGAAGGAATTATCACCGCGTGCGGGTTAAATATAAAAAAAATTGACAATTCGTAGCTTTTCTCTTGACAAATTAATCTCAGTTTGGTCGTAAGCTTGCGACTTATCAAAAATTGATTTCAATCACAGGATGTTAAAATCGAAGAGTTGAGCAGTTAAGAAAAGGATGAGCATTTCCTGAAATCTACTCTCTAAAGGTCAATCAGTGTATTATCACTGAGAACAGTGAATATTCACCGATACACAGTTACAAGTGCAGCACTGAATTATTCAGTGCCATGCACTTATAGCCGTTTTCAGTGATAATGCGCCGATTAATTTTTAAAGAGTACAATTACGAAGTTCACGATTACAATGGTTTAATCGCAAGCGGGAACGTTCGAAAGACAATTGGATTCGAGAAAAGGTGAGTTTTTATTCTTTCTAAAGATTGTGACCCGCTTTACTTTCAATAACACTCCCCGCTTTCTAACGTCGCGAGCAAGCTGAAGAGGCGCTCGTTCCTCAAGGGACACCACTTTCGCACGTCGCGTACACGAGTACAAATGCCCGCGCACTTCTTCATTAGACTGCTCGATAATTGCACGCTCGTTGCTCTGCATGGACCTTTTGTCAAATCGATAAACTCGGTTTATTCATGATTGCCGTGCCGCAACTTGCAATCCATAGACTCGACACACACATGCATAAACGTCGTCCGTGCATTCTGCTTGGTGCGCCGGGGGACTGCGGTCCCGCGGCACATTCATTGGACTTCTCTATCAATCCCATTCAGCCGCCGGGTTAATAGTCTCGATCTGCCGCCTGCAATACGAAGTTGTCCCGCACTTCCTTTCACCAAGAGGCTCTTCGGAAATTTGATTTACCGTCGACCACTTGGTATTCAACTTTGAATGTTATGTACATATGTAATTTTATATATAGAGGATCCTGATAGCGGAGTTTCTGTTAAATTAACAGGCATTAGCAGCCACCATGAATTCATTGACCTTGGAGCGAAATCTGTTTAGTGGAATATTCATTGTTAGATCGCGTAATCGTTGCGAGAAAAGATTTGCGATTGAATTTGGACATTGAAAACCTGCTCTATCTCATATTAGAAACCTATCTCATAGTAGAGCGCAGTCCTCTATATGTAACGGATTTAAGTAAGATATTGTCGGAAAAGCTTATTTAAAATTCAAGTGAAGATGCAATTTATGTTATCTCAGTTGCATCCCTGTAACTTGAAAGCTCGTAATTTTTAATCGTCGCGAGTCTCGAGATCAGCCATTGATATTTTAGCGAACGACGGCGTTTTCGATCGCTCGAGAAGAATACGGAAGATCCTGTAGCAACCCGCATACCGATCTATATTCCGCGGTGCGAAACCCTTTCCTTCCTTGCACCGGCTGTACGAGAACGGCCGGGGCCGCGACGACGACGACGGAACTCGCAACGAAGCATAAACGGCGCCTACGTGGGCGCCCGCGTCGCAGGCACCGCGTGATAGTTGGAGCAGGTAATTATTATTTAAGTGGGATACACGAGCGGGCAGGGCGCTGGTCGTGAATGCCAATTAATAAGCCGACACGGCACGTATTCCACCGGATCGCCGGATCTATTTGTATCGGCAACCTACGTGCGGCAACGCTAAAATCCAATCGCTTATGTATGGACCAGGGCACTCCGGGCCCGCCGAAGGGATATCGCTATCTCTCGTACGTCTCGGGCTCGAGACACGACACCACAAGGCCGCCGGGCGCGACACGGGTGAATTATGCCACGTGGGGAAAAGAAGTCCGAGTTTTCTTTCGAACGGGGCGAGATAAGAATTGCGGTTTCGATCAAATTAAGTCACGCCTGCGGAACCGCGATCTTTCATTCACTTCATTTGGGAGGGATTTTTTGTCGAAACGGAGGATGTTACACGTAACATTGATCTTTCTATTTCAAGGTACGGCGTGACCGTTTTTACTCGTATTTAACAATCAACGACGCAACTTCAATTGACTTTGCACTCTTCAACCAAAGCGTGCAATATTTTTGACTAATATCTTACTACCACAGTGATATTGGCCAAACAATTGATATGGGATCTTTAACAATTTTGTGAACAGATTACTTGAGAAGAGTCCAAATCCGGGACCAAAACGTTGCAGTGTGTTTTTAATAAAAACATTGGCCAGTGTAGGTCGTTAAAAATTACATATTTATATTAACTATATGTTATATATATTAAATTCACGATGAAACCAACAGATGATTACAGCCGTTAATTTAGCGGATACTCCGCTATTTCATATTAGAAGCCTATTTCACTTTCCTCCATGCGAATTCACATATTAGATTAAAAATCACTGGGCTACCTACATCTTGCTCGGACCTAAATATTCTCGATTCTTATTCGATTATACATTCGAAAATACATTCCTCTGCTTTTTCGAAGAAAGAAAATTCTTCCAACAGAACTCCCTGAGCGCTCGCTGCCCGGTTTTTCCTCCAGAACTTTTTGAAACTGGAAATGGTTAGATCGCGATCGATTTTGTATCTCGCCGCTGCATCACGTGTAACGGGACTCGCGCGAGACCCAATTTTACGGTAACGGCGCGGCTGGATATCGGGCCGGGAGT